ACTTGGCACCTTATCTATTTCAGACTGAAATAGCTGACATGGATCGTTTAGGTGATGGAACTCGACAAGCTCATCCAGCGGTTTCTGATATCAATTATAAAACTATCGGCACAATGGTGCAATAAACCTAAGTTTCACATGTTGATTCATCTATGTGAATCAATTCAACGATTTGGTCCGCCCTGCCTTTTTGCAACAGAAAACTTTGAATCTTATAACGGAAACACACGAAGTTCATCAATTCATTCGAATCATTTAAGTCCTGGACGAGATATTGCGAATTCTTTCAACAGTTATAAACTGATCAGGGCGCTAGCTTCCGGAACCACATTATATGATCACAAGCTCAAAACATACATCCGTTCAGGTTCAAAAGTCCAAGAATTATTTCGAAACAATAAACTTTTTCAAAAGGCCTTAGGTTACAACGCTTCTTGGAACGTGGAAGCTAGAATTCAAATTGGAAGTAAGTATTTGTGGTAATATAAAGCATTTTCATAACATGTATATGCCGCATTTTTAACCACTGTTATGCTTTTAACTTGTTTCAATTTGCAGAGAAAGCACGCTCCCAACCACCAGATTCGAGAGCTCTGATTCCAACAAACATCTTCAATACATTTTCCGCGGAGGACTGGAAAGTCCTTGAAGATATCACTTTATCAACACAACAAAAAGTATCTGCCAATTCTTTTATTTCTTTCAAAACCAAAAATGACCCCATCGGGAGCATTGCTCGAGTTCAAACAATCTGGGGTGTAGGAGGCTGCGGAATTTCTCAGACAATGGTTGAAGCAGTCTATTGCCAAATGGGCCAGGTGAGCGGATATTATGGAATGCGGGAACTGCAGCAGACTGATACAAGTGTCTGGATCAAAATTGATGTGAGTTATTACCCATATAAATCACTTCCTTCACTACCTCGAGTTTTCTAACCCGTGATTTGTATTTCAACCAAACACGCAGGACATTGAAGGCGTTCTCAATGTCCAACATGACTGTTATCGAGGCAAATGCAATGTGCAGAAGGTCAGGCCGACTATCATTGAACGACGAGTGTCGAAAAAGCTGGATTTTGCTGTGGTTCACGAGGAAACCATGGATTACATCTTAAATTCAGGCGCGTTCTATTCAGCGGAATTGCATCGTAAATATGCTAGGATTCAATTCGCCGAAAGCAACTCGCATGATTGGGTCTTGGCTGTGGAGAAAGGACTTGCGAATTGGGATGCCGCTGTTAAAAAAAGAGACGATACAAAGGAGAAGAAGCGGCAAAAAGCAAAAGACAAAATATTAGGTAGCCAAACAGGTCAACCTTCCACAAACAAGAAAAGAAAAACAAACCAAGGCCAGTAACAGTTACAACCATCTAACTCTGAACTTGTCGATAGGTATCTCTCGACCGGTCAACCGGTCGCGGGCCCTTCCAATTCATGAAGAAAAGATATTTCATTTTTATGATGTTGATCAAACTCACAACATAATTCTTTTTAACCACCGTTATGTATCTCATTTTCGTATCAACATTTTATTAACTCTTTATGGTGCTTCGCATCACCAAGTGAACTTACAAATTTCTCAAATAAATCAAACAAATATTTAGAATTCTAAAATATATATATCTTTGTTTTATTTTTTAATTACAAAGATATATATATGCGCCGTTCAAAGGAGGATACATACTTTACCTTTTGAAGATATCATTGATCGTTTGGCTTCCATTGGAGAAAAATGAAAGGAGTCGAAATCCAAAGGAAAAGATATTGTACAACTGCAATTGTATAAACTTCCAAGTTGATATATCTTAGACCCTTACCAACATGTCAATCTAAGATATCCTTTTCGTGTTAAACGGAGAAGATCCATCGACGATATCTTTGAACGTTTCAAAGATATCTTCTTCATTATTCCTTCAATTTTTGAAAGATCCTCTGAGCGTTCAAAAGGTGCTAAATATTTACTCGGTATTCTTTCATTCCATTGAAACCCACCTGATTATACCTTTTCTCTTATAAGTGGTTCATCGCTGTGCTGTCTTCAACAATCCCATCTTTTCCGTGAAATCAAGGGATTGAAGACATTTCAAAAGTTCAACGGGGCCGGACCGTAGCAATTTGAAATTATCTTCTGAGACTTCTGTTGACTTCATGTCATTTCTCTTTTCACTTCCTCGCATCTTCCCTCTCGCTCAAGACCCTCCAAGTTCACCTTCACCAATGAAGTCTGGTAGTCAACGAACCCAGACGTCCCAACGGGCCATCGCTTCGCAAATCAGTCCTCAACAAGAGCAATCCAATCGGAACACTCCCAGCATTTCAGGCTCTCGGGCATCCACTCGATCTCAAAAGAGGAAACTCACTCAAAACCACCCATCATCGCCATCTCCAGTTTCCACTCGTACTCAACGTTATAGGCCATACCAACGTTCAAAACGTTCGCAGCCAAGTCTTCCAACTCAGCAATCGACACATGGCAACACTCCGAGGGCCTCTGTTTCACGATCTACACGATATCAAAACAGACATCATCAGCGTGAACAAACTGAAGAACTCGAAAGTCACAATTCTCAATTATCTAATCCTACCGAAGGAAATCAGAAAAACGAAGAAGAAGATGATGAAATACCTCAAAAGCCTGCCAAAGAGTCACAGAGAGAAGACTCCGAAGAACCTTTCAATCAAAAAGATTTAAATTTATTCAACACTGGCTCTGATGACAACAATGTAACCGACGAAAGTCCTTATAAACCGGAGGATAGCAGTGAACGTAATAGTAGTGAAGGTGAAGACGATTATCGTAAGTTCTCCACTGCTTTTTATTAAAGTTGAAGGATATTGATAATATCAGCTTATGTGAACTTAGCCACCAAAGCTGCCACAGTCCGCCCCGCTGCTCGAACTATGTCGAAGAACCATAGCGGACAGACTGCTTTACCTTCCCATATGACAGCCGCTCATTCCCAATCTTTCGAACGCATTGCTAATTGGGCTGATCTTGATCAAGATGCTCGCACGGTTGGACGAAAGTTATGTAATGTGAGTAAGATGAACTGAATAACGCACAGAACATGGAACTCATCATCTTATCTCACAGGTTACTGGCAGTGACGATCAATTCCATGCCTGCGTGGTTGCCACACTATCCATGCGCCAAGAGATGGTAGTGTTATCAAATCAGCTTGACGAAATCAAGCAACAAATAAGCAAAATATCTCGTGGAAGAGGCAGTTCTTGGAAAGACGAAGAGCATACCGAGCTCAAAGTAAGCCGTCTGCTAGCTAAGTACCATTTAAATAAATGTTATACATGTGTAATCGAACTAATCTGACACTGGATCAATGCATTGTCATCATCTCTACAGGCAGTTGTTCGTTCTACAGCGGTCAAGAAGATCATGGACGGCGATATCCAGGCATACACCGCTAAGGAGAACAAAGTCATCAATGAGGACCCGCTACCCTTCTGTTTGTATGGGAAAGTCATGGTAATTGTGCTTCCCATTGTTTTCACGTCATTCTTCAAGAACTGATACATTGTTCACGTCAGACTGAGATCTTAGGTAAACCATCCGAATGGAAGAAGGAATATCTTCCACCACGATATGGTGTCGATCCGGACAACAAATCGAGTCGTGCTTTTCATTCTTTGGTGAATACTGCTTTGAAGGAGGTCAGAAAGGACTTTGAAACTGTGGTATGTCTTACTTATAACTGGCATGAAGTGTCCACCTTCCTGACCGAAACTTCTCAGCTCCTTCAAAACATTTATCTTCCGGATCGAAAAACGCCACGTGTGGATGCACCAGTGCCTATTCTTGACACGGTTATTGTCAAAGTAAGTTACTTGTTATCTTGGCTTATGGAAATATCACTGAATCGAAAGACTCCCCCGTATACACAGCTGTACCAAAAGGAACATGGTGTCAGTGGTCAAGTCCTCGTTACCAAAGAGGTACTTGACAAAGTGGGCTACCTTCGATCATCACGATATGCATGGGTGGTAAGTTCATCATGTTGTTCATCTATCTGCAACTTATGTACAACTTACCACTGCCTTTGTCCGGGTCCTCCTCTCAGAGGATGCAGGCAATCCACTGGGGGTTAAACTGTAATAACAAGAATTTTAAGTATGGCAGCCGATCCTTGTGGGACGTCATTGATGAACAACTGGAGTACTTACGAAGTAAATCCACGCGATATCGTCACGCGTAGGTCATGCTATATCTTAATGAATAACTACACCCTTTAAAATGCTTATGCTTATCAAGGGTAATTTTACAGGTTTTTTACCTTGTGTGACCAAAATGACATCGATCGAATCGATGGGACCAAGAATTTTGCCCAATTAAAGGATTCTACCGACTTCTCGCTGCCAAGTGAGGCACAAATTGAGGAGGAAATCGAGTATTTGAATCAGACTTTTGGAACGGAACAGTCACCCGAAGAGGCGTCGCATGTACTCGTCGAAGGCTAGGTTTGATGTATGGTTCTATGACATATAGACCAGTTTGGTCAATGTTTTCATTTATCATTTTATCTTTTATTTTATCTTTTATCAATGGCTCTTTGATACATATGTCTTTTCCCTCATTTTTTTTCTTTTACCTCGTTTTTTTTATCCTTATTTTCAAATTTTTTGTATCGTTGTCAAATCTTATTTTCATTTATCATCAATCTCAATGTGAATTTATGTTTTTGAGTTGTTTCAATTATAGCAATTAACTTGAAGTCATCTGAAATATTATATTCTGTTTGTGTTTCATTAAACAATTACCAATTGACAAAATTTATTAGTAAATAAAACGAGGCATTCATATCCTTGCGACGAATGATGGTTGAAGGCCTCAACCAGTTTCGAGCAAGTGACAACTGGTTCAATCACCAGTCTTGCAAAACACGGGTTCCAACACCGTAAAACGGCCACGTGTGGCCAACGATGGTCACCACCAACGAAAAACCCGGTCCTCAACCGTGACTCGACCCCGGCTGAGGACCAGTTAGAGGGGGGTTCGTGGTGTATCGTTGAGAAGACCAATACTATACTTTGCTACATGTGTAGTATAGTATCGGTCCTTTTTTACCAGTATCGTGGTCAGTATAGTAACGGGTTGCGATACTATACCGATACTATACCGATACTGGTATAGTATAGTGACACCCTTGCTTCTGCAGATAGGGGATCAAATATGTAGTCTCATGCACCCACATCTCCCGAGTCTTGAGCCTGTTTACACATTGTCCAGGGGCTCTGCCAGGGCTTTTCCATTGGGCCGGAAGCAGATTACATGCCATGACAGGCCATGACCCTGGGCCTGATATGGTACGCCACCGGATCTTGCTTCTGACAGCCACGGTACTTTTTGCAATACACTCAAGAAGATTTGTCTCCATTGGAATCCCACTAAAACATTCTCGTGAGTTTGTGGTGCCTTCGTGGCGCACGTTGAAAGGCTGAGTGAAGGGGGCTCAAAAGAAATCAAGATTGTACGCAGGGCTGAACGAAATCTTAACAAAACTTCTGGACAACTGAGGCGAGATCTTGGCTTTGTGTTCTACGACTTTACTCACCACAAAATCAACTCGAATTGAAACCTATACTTTCTCCTCAACTTCCTTCAAGATCCTCTAAACAAAATGTCCAATAATATTCCTTATATCTCTATCAGCGATTCAGATTCATCACCACCAGATCATGAACAACGAGAGTATTATCCTCCATCTCCATCTCCAACTCGATTATCAAGAATTTTCAACTCAATCAATTACAACAGTCCACCACCTTTGGAAAAAAATCGAATCTGTACAAATCGAATCACACCTATTATCTGTTGTTTGACCATCATCTTTGTAATCTTTGTAACTTGGCAAATCGATCTTCATCCAGAGTCGAAACGAGAAGAGGTCAAAACTAGTTTTTCAGGCACCTGGTGTGCTGCATCACCTAGACTTAATTATGATGGAGGCTGTAATCCTTTCGAAGAACCTGGGTATATCAATTATGACTCAAAACATTATCTCAATAATACATGGAAAACATTCAGACCAGATTGCCAACCGGAAAATCTTTTCAAACAACTAGTCGAAGATCTACAGCGTTATAGTCGTGGTCATGATCATAAATCTCCTCGCGCACTTCCCTGGCTACAAAACCGTACTATCGTTCTGATTGGTGATTCAATCGATAGGTCAGTTTCAAAACAAAAATTCACAAATTCCAGATGAAAACCCTGGACTGAAATTGAGACTGATGCGATTTGGTTTCTTTTTGATTTGGCTAGATTTCATCTGAGAGACTTTTGTGATTTGCTCTCAGCGTCAATTGAACCACCATTTCATCCTGTCTCTGACGTAGGGCGTAGTCCATCACCATCAACACCCGATGCACCATCTCAATCTTTTCACGTCGATCCTAATTCTAATCTCACCACACCACCTTACTTTTTTGACTCAGAAGATCATTCTAAAACACCAGATGACTGGCCTATGGACAAACGATCTCAATTTGCTCAGCAGCAAGAGGAATGGGCCAAGCGGTCAGTAGTACTATCCATTCTTTATGAAAGAGTTGAAGGAAAACATTGCTGATGGAAGAAATCAATTTATATAGGGACAACATTCGAACAAAACCATGGGTTTGCGAAGTACCTATCTATGGTTTTCGAATCGTGAGCCTCTTTACGTACGGACTTGAACCATATAAATCTGGATACTTTTTTTCAAATGAAGATTGGTGTAAGTAATACTCATGAAAGAAAGAAAAAAGGTAGATTCAAAGTAGTAAATGTTTGATTTTTTTCTCTCTCTCTTTAGATTTGCCACCTTCTGGATTCCTTCATCGTGTAGACCACATTCTCTTACCACTTCTTCAAAACTTAGCAAAAGAAAGAAATGCACCTCAAATCCTTACACCTGATTTACTTGAAGTAGGATCAGGACTTTGGGATTTGAGACAATGGACAGAAGATGATTCAAGAGCATTGGGACATGGGATTGATGATTCAAGTGAAGTTCCTTATGAAACACTTACTGAAGATCGATTAGGTTGGTGGAAAGAAAGAGCTTTTAAAGTTTTAGAAGGCATCGCTACTCGCTTCCCTCATTCTTCTCCAATCCTTTGGCGTACTTTACATCACCCACTTCGACATACATTGGCACCTTATAGTCGGGTTGAACAACTTGATCAACTTGCGAGATATGTGGTGGGTGAATTACAACGAAAACCTGGAGCTTTGTCTACTCGATTACAAATTGATAATTGGGGTTAGATCTTTCTCTCTTCCTCTTGAGCATACATTCAAAGTTCTCTACTGATCAACACACATTGGATTTGATCAGGTCGGATGATGTTGGGTCAAGAAAACCATTTCAGGGATATCTTACATCCTCGTGCAGCACCTGGTAATGTATTATGGGGTGAAATGATACTATGGGAGTAAGTCTCTTATCTTGCTTCACCTTGTCTCACTCATGCATAGATGTGATACATTCTCATTTGGATTCTCTTGACCAACTCTCTGTAGATTACGAAGAACAGTAATGTCAAAGGAAAATGTCAAAGCCAAACCAAGACCACAAATCATACATTGAAGTCTTTGTATAGACATAAGGATATGAAGAAAAAACACAATCCCATCACTGTATTCATATGATCTTAAGCTTTTGTTTTTATTTTAATTTCACTTTTTGAACTTTGATTTGATATAGATTAGAATTTTTGGACTTCCTGTTTTTCTTTTGGCTTCTTTGATATTTAATTTGATTTCTTTTATAAACATCATCATTTATCATCACGATTAAAATGTTTGATTCCTTTTTTTTTGGAAGTAAAGAGATTTTTGAAAATTTTCACTTGATTAGTAAAGAGTCTTTTTGTTTTTCTTTGGAGTGTAAGGGTGGTTCCTAAATTGTGAAATTGATAAAATTGATCGGATTTTGTTTTACTCTGCATATTCATGAGATTTACATTGGCGTGATGATACTTTGAATTGGAGATATTTACAATGAGTGGTGCTACAGATTACAACCAATTTGATTGCCTTTTTGATATCCCATTGAGCTGGCGTATATGTGGTCTGAGACTCTGGATGAAGCTTGAGTGTGTTAGTGAATCAGAGAGTGAGAGTGAGAGTGGTGTGACAAGTTGTAGTTTGACTGTATTGGATTGAGTTTGAGTGAATTTGATTTTAATTTTTAATTTTCTTTTTTCTTCAGTTGATCTTCATCATGATTAACCTTTTCGATAGATTCACTGGATTCACTGGAATCACTCCAATTCACTGTCACGCTTCACTTCTTCTCGTCCTACTTGGTCTTTCGGCTTATAGGCTTCTCATAGTAGGTAATGACTTTTGTTTTGATTCATCAAAAACTCAAGACAGATCTGACTGAGTGTGATTTGTTTGTGGAATGATAATTAACAACCTGATATATAGATGCATCGGATCCATACCATTGTAAAGCTTTACTTCAGACTGGAAGATGGCTAGATGGAAAGAATTACCAAAATTGGCAACCGGATGGATGCATGCTACATCCTTATAAACCGAAAGAGGTGATCGAATGCTTGGAAGATCGTAGGGTGATTTTCATAGGTGATTCAGTGACGCGCGGATTGTTTTATGGAGCTTTGAGATCGGTCAATCAAACTATCACTCAAGAAGGTCAACCTAAACATTCAGATCGCGTCATACGAACGACTGGTGGGATCGAATGGACATTTCATTGGGATCCTTTCTTGAATACTACGAATTGGAAACGGATCTTGACCGATCAATCAACCCAAAGAAACGGAAAGACAAATCAACCTGCACTCTTAGTAGTTGGATCAGGTGTATGGTTTCTTCGACATCAACTACCTTTCGAACTTTGGCGTAAGAGAGTAGACGAACTATTTGAATACTCTTTATCACAAAAAAAATCGATTGCAGATGAGATTGTACTTTTACCAGTCGAGATTCCTGTGACTGAAAAATTATCAGCCGAACGAAAGACGATTGGACTTAAAGAAGTGAATCAGATGAATGATTATGCATTACAGAAACTTGCTTCAAAATCGGATTACCAAATCGCTATTCCATCGGTTCATAACCTCATGACAGCAGAAGCTGATCTAGAGACAGCAGACGGATTACACTACTCTGAAAAATTGACGAGTATGCAAGCGCGTGTGTTATTGAATATGCGATGTAACGATATACTCGTGAAGAAATTTCCACTGGACAAGACCTGTTGCTCAGACTACCCTAGACCCAATTGGATACAATGGTTGATCATCTTTATCCTCTTAGTCTGGGCTCCTACTGGGCTGTATCTCTACCGGAACTCGAACACGGCTTCATCGCATTGGACGAGGTTCTTCCCAGCTCATGAATACCTGGGTCCTCTGGCGGCGTTTGGTTACTCGATTGTACTCATCTTCCTCGCTGATCGGACAACATTTTTCAACAAAGAACAAAAACAATTCAATGGGTGGTGGTTCGGCCTATTAAATTTACTAGGTTTAGCTGTTGGAATTCTTACATCTCAAGTCTCTGATAAGGGTGATCTTGGTCTATTGAATCGTGAACAAACAGACGAATGGAAAGGTTGGATGCAAATCGCCATCTTGATTTATCATTACTTATCTGCATCTAAGATCTCAGGAATTTATAATCCGATTCGAGTTTGTGTGGCTTCTTATCTTTTTATGACCGGTTATGGTCATTTTACATTCTTTTATAAAAAGAAAGATTTCGGTTTATCACGGATCGTAGGTGTGATGGTTCGACTTAATTTACTTACACTCGTCTTGGCTTATATCATGGATACAGATTATTTATCATATTACTTTTCTCCACTGGTGAGTATGTGGTTTATGATTATCTGGGTGACGATGTATGTTGGTCATCAATGGAATGATCGGCTAGATTTTCTGATTGTCAAATTGATCGGATCAGCCACGCTCGTTACATTTCTCTTTCAATCTACTACACCACTTAAATTCACTTTTGCAGTTCTGAACAAAGTCTTTCAAACACAATGGTTTGCAACTGAATGGGCCTTCAGAGTCACATTAGATATGTATATTGTTTATTGGGGAATGATAGCTGCTTTAGTTTACATTAAAGTTAAAGAGTCAAAGTTAATTGAACGGAATCCGGAAACGTGGCAGAAAGTTTGGACTGCAAGTATTATTCTCAGTGGACTTGGTATAGTTTGGTTCTTTTGGTTTGAGCTCACTCGGTCTAACAAATTGGAATATAATCAAACTCATCCTTATACTTCAATCATTCCGATCGCGAGCTTTATTATATTGAGAAACTCGACGGGTTTTTTGAGAAGCGTTAATAGTAGGGCTTTTGTGTTTATTGGACAATGTTCTCTTGAAACTTTCATCATACAGGTCAGTTGCTGAATTCCTCGAAAAATGAGATCACTTTGAATATGACAAGATACTGATACTTTGATTGTTTGTTGTCAAAAAAAAGTTTCATTTCTGGCTTGGCGCTGACACTAAAGGTATCCTGGTCATGATCCCATGGAATCGATGGAGAACCTTAAACTTTATACTTTCATCTATTGTCTTTGTGTTTATCAGTCATCAAGTGGCAATCAAAACAGGCAATCTAACAGATTGGGTTTGTAATAAACCATCATCTAAATCAAAGAGTACACCAAATAGCACTCAACCAGCTGAGTACGTTCCATTACCAGTAGTTAATAATCCAAATGAATCAGATGAGATCAATGTACAAACCGATCATCAAAAAGAAGCAGCTCAAAGGGTTTTATCAATGGGATATGAAAAGAATGGTGTATTGAATCGGTTCTGGATTTGGATCATCGATGCATTTGATAAGAAGTTATGGTTTAGGTTCTTGATTCTTTTGTGTGGTTTATGGATCTTGAACTTGTTGTATCCAAGTCATGCTGATTCTATTGGACATATCTGTTAGTATTTTTTTGATTTCTTTCTTTCTTGTTGGGGTGGTTCTTATCTAAGATATCAACTGATGTGTTTGGTTTTCTTTACTTTGGGTTAGTACCAACACATTGATCTTGATGGTGAACCTTTGGTCAGTTATTAAAGGTGAAGGAGAATAGTCACTCGGAAGAAGAAATCAAACTTGGTGAACTGGTCTATTGATACTCCAAAAAGAGAAGCAAAAAGGAAAGATCATGTAAAGTAAATAAATTCAAGGTTTATGATTCTTTAACCTTTTTTGGTAAACTCAGCAAGGGGAGGATTTCTTTTCACTTTAGATTTTTCTTTTTTGGATTAATTAGTTGTTTTGTGAACTTTTCTTATATTTGGGTCTGGGGAATTCATTTCTTCTTCTGCTTCTTCTTCTTTCTCTCTTTTTCTTTTTCTTTTTGTGGGTGTGTGTTTCTTTGCTCAGATTAAAATTATATGATTGTATGTTATGAAAAGCTTTTTAAACACTTTCAGGTTTTTTTGGTTTTTGAGTTGAGTTAAGATGAAGTGAAAATTGGAGATCGACAAAAAAAGATTTCACTTGGAATTCTAGAGAAGTTCATGAAGTATTTATTTTTATTCTATGTTTTTATTCTTTTCTTTTTTGGGTCTAATTTATTTTAAGAATGATTTGATTTTGATGATTTAAAAAAAGTTTTTGGGATATGAATTGGTACTTTTATCTTTGAGAGGATAAGAAAAACAATAGTTTCCAGATGAAAATATCTGTTTCTTCTTCACTGGAAAACCTTTACAGTAATTTGGACCATTCATGGTCAACCTCTAGCCATTTTTTTTTAAAAAATTGGGAAAAGAATCTCTGAGACCAGCTCATGAATCACAATGAGTATTACTATTACAAACTGATTTCTGCATATCAAGGATACTTGTTGAGGTCAAACAGTGATGGTTTAGACGGGGCCTCGTTTGATGAGATGGGACTCAGAAACACTGAAGTAGAGTCTTGAGTTATTTGTTTCAATTTTGCATATCATAGTCGAAGACTCTAGGGCCTTTACAAAAGATTGACAGGTTTTGATATAAACTTTATAAATAGATAAAGAAAATTGACATGATTCCCAATAAATAATATAGAAAAACAACGAAACCTGAAGAGATGCGACAAAAAAGACCCAATAGATTTTGAATTAAATTAAATTGAAAATAAACATAAGGAAATGCTACAGAACATTTTGATAATGAGTATAATTACGCCTTAGGACTGCACGTTTTAATCTAAAGAAGGTAGATGGAATGATTGTTAGCCATCAATCCTCAATGATGTATGCATTGTAAGTGATGAACGACTCACTCCCATAGAATTATATCAGCCCACAGAACTGCTCCTGGCAATGCTGCAAGATGAAGTACATCTCGAAAGTGATGCTCTTGTCCTAACATAAGTGCACCTACATATCCTAGACGTCAATACTCGATTAAAAGCTTGAAAATAAGAAGAGAAGCTGACCTGATTCATCTACCCTTAAACGATCCTTTAGAACAGAGTCCTGTGATTTGAGTTGCTGAATATTATATCTAGCAAGTTGATCAAGTTGAAACACACGATTAAAAGCTACCCAATAATGTCTTTGTGTATGATGAAGTGAACGCCAAAGGATTGGAGTTTGATTCTCTGGAAAGTTTTGAGACACGAATCTGACGGCTCTTTTCATTCTAGTACTCCACCAATTTAATCTTCCTTGATCTAAATCTGTAAAAGCTATTGGAGAATATGAATTAGGTTCTTCTTCGCTCTCTTCAAAGTCTTCTTCACCCCATTGTCTTAAATCCCAAAAACCTGATGCCATCTCTATCAAGTCTGGTTTTTCTATATTCGGATTCTTGTAATGTTCAGCTAGGTTGGTGAGTAAAGGTTTCATGATGTTGGTCACCCGACTTGTGTATTCTGCTGGAGGGTAATCTGTAGAGACGAAAAAGTAGAAGGACAATCAAAAGATGAAAGTTTCAGTCTCAGTTTATATTCCAGTGAGCAAGCATCAATTCTACTGGGAAAAGTGATTCATGCAGACTAACATCCAGAAATATTGGCATAAATCCTTCCACCATTTTTAGGTTCAAGACCCCATGTAAACAGATTCACAGCTGTGAATCCATACTTTTCTATCCTACAAACTCTAGGTCTAGTAGTATTAGGATTGTTCTTACCAGATTCCCAAATAGGAGATTGAAATTTAAATAAATCTTCTTCACCAACTGGCCAATTTGAAGGAGGTTTTGTTGGATCGATTGGATCGAAATGGAATGGTTTAGGTGATAAAGGTGAATCGGCATTAATGTAATATGTTTCGGCTGGTGGATCATTAAGGAAAATTGGTGATTCTTCAGTCGATCCAGGCGCTTCGTTCAACATGGTACAAAAGTCAAAGAGGTGCCATCTATGTGGTATGAAACAAGATGATCAAACTTAACTTGAAGGAATTAAAACCTTTGAAGATGTTTTTCTTTTTGGAAATGACTTACCTTTCAATCGAATCACCAATCAAAACTAAAGTCCGATTCTGAAGCCATTTAAATCGTTCATCATTTTCTGCCCTCGAGTTTACCAATAAATCTTGTTTAAGTTTAGAAAACAAATTAGAAGGTCGACATTCCTTTTGATAAGGTCTCCATGTATTATCACCATAATCAGTTTGATTGTAATGTAGATACCCAAGTTGTTGAAATGGATTACATTCTTCTTGTACAATTGAGGGTTGATTGTTCGATTGAGGGTTTTCTTGTTGAACTTCATCTGACACAATCGGATCCCACCACAAAGTACAAAGTGCAAATCCTATGAGAGTACTACCGGCCAGAATCCAAATGGCTCTTTGACAAAAATTACTCAGTGCTTTTAGTCCTGAGTTCTCGACTATTGATTCTACTGATGATGTCTCTCTTGAATCGCTTGGAATGTTCACATAGGCTGCATCACTTTCAGGTTGCCTTCGGATTCCCATCTTGACTGATCCAAGTCGGTGCAAACAAGGTCAGAGGCACTCGAGAGTCAAGTGTTTGCTGGTCCGAAAATCCGGCAGAGGTTGCGATATCGAATGAAGACTTGAAGGACTTGAAGTGGATTCCAAGAAATCGTCGAATAACCTCAGTCTTCAGTCTTCAAGTGAGAAACGAAGGAAGCTTTATTGACGTATATCTTTTTTTTGCCTCGCTCGCCACCAGGTATGTAAAGGATGGTGGGACAAGCAGGAGGAGTTATGATCTCAGGTCGATCAAAAATCCTCAGTGAGGTTTACGGTTTGTTTGAGGCTAGTAATTTGCAAAGCGACATGTTTCAACACGAATTCACGGGCTGCGTCGTATCAGAGCTATTACAATTTCGTTCTGAGGCTGTTGGAGACTTTGAAATTTTAAAGAAGTTAATCCAATAAAGCTCGTACTAAATAGAAATCTTTATCATTCTTGAGAGTGATCCCAAAAAGGCTGAAAAGTCTTTAGGTCCGCCCATTTATAGATGCAAGCCCAGCTGACCTTCTGAAGAGCATAGAGACGCATCATGGTGAAATCTGCGGTCACCCTTGAAGTGATTCTGAACTTCCGAATGTGAAACTTTACCCCATGTTCTCTAATGCTACCATGGTTCAAGATCCTGTATGGTATGATCAGTGTGTGATTTGACGGCGGCGTATGGAAATCTTGTGATGTAGATAGACTGCCACGTAGTTCTGAGCCTGTAACCGAGCATCTCTTCGAGTAACCATTAATCTTTCAAGTCAAGATTTATCAATCGTCTTGTAGATGATTTGAATCCTTGAGTTTCAACACATGCCTTGAAGCGTAAATCCATAGAGCATTGCAGCACTGGAGTCTGATGTTTTATTAGGATTTCAGACTCGCCCAGATGTCTTAGACTTGAATGCCTTTTATATAATATTAAGGAATCTGTTGCAAAACCTAGACCATATTGAAACCAACACACAAGAAATCTTGACTCAGAGATTTCCTGAAGACTACATGTGAATGTGAATTCTTTGATGATTACCGAAGAGCAGAGTAAAAGGTAGACACTCATATAGAGTGGCTTCATTGATCATTGATTTTTCATTCTGTGTCTATTCTGTGTAAAGCCTCAACCTTTTTGCCGAATTGGCTCACTGCAAGGTTTTCAACTTCATCATTAAACATGATGAAAACATAAGAAATCGACTTCCAGGTGCTCATATATCCAAAGACAGTCGATGTGTTTCAGGTAATGGACAGGGTACATCCCAAATGTTCGATAGATGACTTGACAAAGTCCGTTGATGAGCTGTACCTCGTTTGAACTTTGAGCTGACCAGTAAAGCTCATCGAGGGAGTTGATTAAGTTTGGATAGATTGTGTGATCTTCTCATGAGATCTTCAAGATGTGAACCCTACATATCAGAATCTAGAGTCTCGCTGAGTAATTGATTACTCCGTCTGGTGTTGAGTCGCCTAATCAATCAGTCAGGGACGAATTGATTGATATGAAGATGATGGAATGGTGATCCGGAAGTGATTTGAAGACACCTCTTTGTGAGCTCAGAAGTTCAAGGGTGATAGAATTATGATTGCGAGAGAATAGAATTCGATATGTCCTTCCGAATTTGCCTCAAAGTTTCATTTATGTATATCTCGATGAGTGAGGTGATGAGATGAGATGAGATGAAGATACAAGAATGAGAGAGAGTTGATTTAGATTTCTAGTGAATTCTTTAAATTTCTTGTTTACCTCAACTTGTATGCTATATATATATCTGCTACATAGACTGTCTCTTTCTTTCTTTCTTTCTTTCTTTCTTTCTTTCTTTCTTTTCTTATTAAAACAGTTTTGATTAAAAATTGACATTAAATGATAAATCAACTTGATCGATGACTACTACTAACCATCAAGAAAATAGTACTTCAATTGGAATTTATAATTTAGTACCATTCTCAAATACTACTGCCAATGCTAGCAGCAATCAACAACAACATCATCAACAACAACCACAACAACCACAACAACCATCAATTTCTCAATCTCAATCTCAATCTCAACTGACTCAATCTACTTCTACTTCAAACTTTCAATCTTCAAATCATTTAAACTTAACAAATCATCTCTTTAGATTCGGACTCTTAAACTCTCAATTCAATGATATCAGAATCAAATGTTTCGGAAGAGTTTATCAACTTCATCGATTAGTCTTATCACAAGTGGATTTCTTTCATGCTTTATTCTCAGGTCCATGGAATGAATCAACCATCGAATCATCTAAATCAGATCAACCTTTGATTTCAATCAGATTTCCTCCTCAAGTTAATCGATCTTCATTCGAATATTGTTTATCTCATCTCTATGGTCATTCTCCTTTACTTGTACCTCCACCATGGGCATACGTATCAGGTGAACCACTCTTGTTAGGTAGAACTCATTCATTACTTACACGTGCTGCATCTAAATCACCACCTAATAGATGGGTCAACATATCAGATGAAGAATTAGCATGGGAACAACTTTTAACGATACCTAATTTACAACCTGCTTCTCCTACTTTCTTAGTATCACTTTTGGTTTGTTCTGATTATCTTGGGATGAGCGATTTGGCTCAAGATACGATTCAATTGATTAGAAAGACAATTACACCTTTTACGATTGTTAGATATCTTACTTTTTCAGATGGAAGATCGATTGATGATGAGATGACTGAATTGGAAAGAAATCAAAGTTGTTCTACACTTGAACAGATTAGTCAACTTGATCCGATCACCACTTCTTCTACTACTACTTCTATTCATGAACTTCAAGTTTCTAGAAACGAATCATTTGAATTTATAAAAGAATCAAATTTAAATTCAGAACATCAACATCATTCAATTGAAGACAATCAAGAAGAAGAAGATATCATTCTTTCTCATGGAGCTCCTGCACAACAAATCGGTCAAGCTTGTGCAAGCTGGTTATCAAAATGGTCAACTGAATTATTATCATTAGAAGAAGCTTTAATCGATCAAGACGAATTTGAATTATTACCGATCGGATCACATGAATCAAGAGTATTAGAAAGATGGCCATGGTTAAAAAGACCTGAGATGAGAATCTGGAGAGAGATTGGTGGTCTGAGTTCTAAATGGATTCGAGTCTTGATCAGTAGTGATGCTCTTTTTATTAGTCGTGATATTTCTGGACCGATTGATCAATCGAGTAGTAGTAGTGCTGGAATTGGTGGTGAATGGGAAAGATATGGTTTGGCTAGAAGAGTGGTCGAATTAAGAGAAAGAGAAAGGATGAGATTGTCAATCGAAACTGGGTTTCAAGAGGATCATCCTACTAAGATCTTACCTGATCCTGAACTTTGTAGGATCTTTGAGGATGGGATTTATTTTTCTCATTTGGTTTGTGGATTTCTTCTTTCTCTCTGTCTCTCCTTAAAAGTCAAAGACTTGAATCTCTAATGCATTCTTGTTGATTTGATTTGACAGACATTCGAACAATTATCTTTTATTTCTAATGATCGATCTTCCATCACCAATCAAAAGTTCGTAAGATCTAAAAGTTTACAAAGAGCACATTGGTTAGCCACCGAGTTTCGAGGAAAACTATCTCAAGATCATCATTTGACACATCCGATTCAAGATCTACATCAAGATGATTTACCAGTTTATGTGATTCCAGAAGATCGAACGAGTAGATTAGATGAATTAAACACTCCTTCTCAACTTACTGATTCGTTTTTCTTTGGATTAGGTCGAGATATGATCACCTCTTTACCGATCCCAACTGATGTGAATCCTAATAGGTTATACACAAGGTTTGAACCTAAACGATTCTCAGCTGAGTTTGTAAACTTGAGTCGATTAAGAGAACGTGATAGATTGTATAGTTTACCTCCATCTAATGTGATTGGATCGAATACGATTTTATATGCTGGATCGAAATTTAGTTGTTATTTACAAAGAGTTAGACAAGGTTCATTGATCGAACCTCAATTAGGAGTTTATGTTCATAGGTTATCAGAGGGGATCGAATCGGAACAAGATCGGATGATGGGTGCGGATTCGAACTCAAATTCGAATTCGAATGCTTCAATGGCTTTGGCTAATAGTCTTAGACAACTTCAGTTACAACCTAGTGTTGGAACTCATTCGTTGTTTGGTGAAGGGTCTAGATTAAGATCGGCTTTAGGACCTAGAGCTTTGACTGGAACTCTTCAACATCAACATCAACATCATCATTCAAATCATCATTCAAATCAACCGATTGGAGGTAAAAGTAATGGGGATTCGAATCCGAACCCGAATTCGAATGGAGTCATTGATGCTTATTTTGTTTTGAGAGTGGGTACTATGGATGGTACTTCTGGTACGATTTTTGAAAGTGCACCGGATGGGTTTGCTAAATCACAATCATGGGGGTAAGAGTGAAAGATGTTGATTTTTTTTTCATTCTACATACACACTAAACTGATTGGTGTGATTTGATTTTGATTTGATTTTTTGAATAAAAAGATATCGATCTAGATCTATGATGGGAGAAGAGTATCTTGGGATCAGTTCGAAAGAAATCGAAGGGGTTTCTACTGGATCTGGAATTGGAAAAACGGGGTCTTTATTAACTTCTTCTTCTACAACACCAACAATAGAGGACATCAAATCGATTGGAAAACATTCGGTTTTGAGATGTACTGTAGTGATTGGAGTGACTTGAAAAAAATCCAAGAGTTCTGCTTTTTTACTTTGTAAACAAAATGTATTGAGGTTTTTTTGGGGGGTTTTGTAACTTGTTTTTTTCCCCTTTTTAGCATGTAAAGTTTTCTTTATAAAGGTTTTTGTTTTTTAGACTAGTTTGTTTATTGTATTTCTTTTAGAGTTTTATTTAAGCATAAAATCATTTAATCAAATCGAAAAAAAAGGATCGGTGTGTAGTTTTCTCTTTTTGAAGCAAAGTTTTGTTATGTATGTTTTTTTTCTAGATGTCTAAAGAAATGATGCTTTTTTGTATGGTTTAACGTTTAAGTTTGGTTTTTTGCAAAAGAAGAATTGTAAAGGCCAAAAAACATGTTGAAGATTGAAGGTTATGTAGAAAGGGAAAGCTTGTGCTGATTGATGAAGTGTGTTAGAAAGTTGGTGTGGTATACCGTATGGGTTGATTTTGTGATGAGAAGGGTTTACTGAAAGATTTGGAGATGATTGATCTGGTTATTATATGGTGTGCAACTCTTACACTCAGCTTTTAATTAGAAATGTGATTATCTTCATTTAGTCCAAGGAGCGCGCTTCTAGAGAAGAGAATAGGTGTCACGTGCTGATAATGTGGCACAGCTCCGACGAAAGATCTGTAAGCATTCGCGTCGCGAATGATCAGCACTGCTGTGCTCTTTACCAACTCCGAATAAAGATTTCCCTCATTACCTTGACTGAGGATGCTCTTGACCTTTGTGAGATTACTATATGAAGCGGGCACTCTTTGAAGTTTGAACTCCGTTCTTCCCACTTCATATATTTTCTCAAAGACATCAAAATAAAGTTGTCTCCTAAAAAGTAATGTCTTTACTTTTCGAGATCTTCTATCGTCTTTGATCGTCTTTGATCTCATACACCACCAGGTCACTATTCCGGTTCTTGAACCGGATTTTGCCCCGGTCGATTAACGGTTTTCCCTTGACTGGTGAAGAACCTGTTTGGAACGAGTCCCTCCCAACCGTGCTGCAACGGGGGTTTTTCCCCGGTTTTTCAGCCGGGTTCACTCAGAGAAAAACCCGATGTTGAGCGGAAAATACCCAGTCCTTGAGTTAGGTTGATTCTGTGCGGTCAGGTGGCTCAGTTTTTTATTGTATGGATCCTGCGAGGAGCAAAGGTTTAGACTAGAGCACATATATTGGTTAAATTGCAATTAGTAAACTTAGTTGAAGATACATGGATAGACAATACAGAACTGGATAATTGTTTAAGTAAATCAGTGAAGAGAAGAAGCAGGTGGTTTCAAATTGGATGGTCAATTGAGAAGCTATGTAGACAATTTGATTGGTTGCTAATGCAAGCTATATGTCTATATGTGATAAAGTCCCGTTTGGAGTCTTGATAAGATTTAGATATAGGATGAATAGAGATGTATATACATAGCACGAGTTGAATCTGATACACCAGTTGCGTGATCGGTCTGATAAGAAAGCGAACTGAAGATGACCAGGGCTACGTTTACTTTGACTAGTATGTGGTCATTACATAATTCAGCTGATCTGAATCAAAAGGTAAGTGTTGATGAGAGTTGCATTGAGAAGGAGTAGGCAAAGGATTTGTTGAATGATAACTTGAAGGTGGTCGATTAGATTGAAGTGAAGGATCAAATGATGAAGAAATCAAAGCATTAGCAAAATGATTATAAGGAGATGGATAAGTTTGACCAAGTGGATCGATAATCTGTTATGCAGAAGTGAGAATCAAAATGATGAGATTAGTGAGATATGAAGTTGAAAAGGGTTAGTGGAATTAGACATGGTGATGATGATGATGAATGGTACTGAGAAATTGGTGAACTTCAAGTTGTTTATGAGTTGACTGATTGAAACTGCTTTTTGAGAATTGAAAAGGTTGAGAAAGCCAAGTTGGTTGTGTAATTTTCTTCACTTGATTCATTTTTGATGATGATGGTAATTAGTAACAGATGTCTTGATTTGGTTTTTAGCTTTTTTCTCAAGGTGAGAAAGTCAAAGACCTTTCATTGAATCGGGGTAAGCCCCGTGGCTTGCGTGCTCAGCGACAAAAATGGTTGAAACCCCGTTTTGAATCCGTTGAAGCTTGACCCATTGCGGAACCGTTGGTATCCATCACGGTTTTGAAAACGCTGCACCAAATGTGGTTGATGAACGGTTGATCCAATGGTTGATCAACCGTTCCTGATCAAACCATTGCAAAACTGGTTTTGGACGGTTGCAGAATGGAGTATTCACCGGATTGTACTCGGTTTATTTTTTCACCTCTGGAACCCGGTTGGTCAACTAAAAGTGACCTGGTGGTGTATATAAAAAATTTTAGAACCGCCGCGGCCCACCACTCCCTTTTAGTTTTGTATTACTTTTTTGGCCGCCCCATAGCGGACCTTTTAGATGCCTTTGAGTCTGCGCATGTATTTAACTATTCAGCATAGTCTTTTGTTTACATTTTGCAATTAGGACCTCTTGCCCCTATTCAGGCTAAAACTTCCTTTGTGAATTCCAGCCCGAATTCCACGAAGCACCAATTTCAAACCTATTCTTCAAAATGTCAACCTGATTGGAATTCATGTCAAGTTAAATCTCACTAGACACTTTTCTCACATCAGCTCAAATAGTAACAAAACCCGGTGCTCAGATGACTTCAAGTGTGAAATGAACTAAGATTGACTCTTTATTGACCCTCATTCTAAAGCTTAGAGGATAAGTTGGATTCATGTGATGAATAAAATGGTTATACAAGATATATGAACTTGATAAGAAATCAAGACCTTTTGGAAACTAAAAACGCTTAAATGCTACATGTTCAGAGGGACTAAACGAATAAAAGGTAAAAAAAGTTCTTTGCATGTCCGCCTTGTGAGTCCAGGTTTATTTTTTGTTGGATTTGAAAGAATTACCTAAGAAGTGAAGATTTGTAAAGAAAAAAAAACCGACGTAAGCAGGAGTTCAGTTCTTTGTGGTGAAAAATGGAAATGGGAAGATAACGTACGTTCGGAAGACTTCATACTTCATTTAATCGCTGGGTTCCACTTGAACTAGGAACAAGAAATCCCAGTGAAATCTTTGAAGTAGAATTGAAAACCAAAGAATTTGAAGTAGTAGCGATCGAAGATGAAGTTTTAGAATCAAAGGAACTCGGACCGGTGGAGACCAATGAATGATCTCTTGGATTTTGTTTAGGCTTAGATTTACAAGTTGATGAACCAGTTTGATGCCTTTGTTTTTTCTTTTTCGGTTTAATGATTTGGTTTGGTTTTTGGTGGTTTGTTTGATCGGATTTTGTACTTTGACTAAAATCACTTTCGTTGTCGATTTCGGATCCTTTTGGTTTGATTGTTTTAGGTATCCCATCTTCATAATAAAATCAAACATATTTCAGTTTAACTTTTCTTGAATGTGATTGAATTTGGATATGGAGATTAGAAATTCGGATGTTTAGAAACTTGGACTTACAAGTGATCGCTGGATCTACTGGTTTGGGTTTGTCTACTAAACTCTTGGCTAATCTATCTAAAGACTCTTTGGTGAGTTCCATGAATGACATTGTGGTGAAAGATAAGAGTTTGAGAGAAATTTTAGATTGATTTGATTGAGAGATTGGGATTTTTGGAAAGTAAAAAGATTCGAAACGGTGTAAGAGAGGTATTGAGATGTTCAGAAGAAAATCGTCAAGAAGTTTTTTTAAATAGACCTGAATAAGGATGTAAATTGGATATAGTGTGAGGAGGAAATGGAAGAAGACTGAGTAGGGATTTATAGCTACCCCGTTCGTGTCTAGATTCATGCATGATGTAAGTGGTGATCCTTGAAAACCATGGATTTTGAAAAAAGAAGGCGAGCATTCATTGGTTCAAATACTTTCAGTCCTGCACTGACTGATTTTTCAACCCGCGCATTATAACTGGGATCAAATTTGGTTTGCCATCCAGGGAAAATTTGAAATTTATTGGTCTACATTCAAATTGACCAGGTTTGCAAACATTTGGGATGGGATCGAAAAAAAAACACTTTGATCATTGAGGATTTGGAAAAGGTGCAAAGTTGATCGGGATGGTTGTAAGAGATGATCGTGATATCAAGATACACCAGTGATATCATTGTAGGTTTGATTAATTCTATGTCTGCATCACTTTGACCCAATTGATGGATGAAAACAAGTGAATGATGGAGATGTGATAAAGGTGCGCTTTCAACTTAAGGTTCGATATCTCTCAGCCATCTTTTCTTCCACCATCACAGGCTTTGTGGCGATTAGAATGGATTATCAGTTACCCTGTTAGCAACACGGATGCTTGAGTGTCGCGGGCAAAAGTGTGCAAGCCTCAAGGTTTCTGAAATTTGATAATTGTACACCACGATATTCCTTACATCGACTTGATGTGCTATTTCATTCGTAGCGCTTGCATATACTCAGAGCCTTCCTCCACCTCCAGAGGGATCTCCCGATTTATACGTCTGCCATCGATTATCAAGTATCTTCATCTTCATCGTAGCCGGACTCATCAAGCACACCGAGCCTCTACCCTTATTTACGCTTTTAGATTTCGATCATAGCGAGATTGATATTCCAGGGTACTAAACCTTGCAGTGAAAGTATTCGGCCAATGGGTATCAATGATGAGAGAAATGGATTGACTCACCGGTTTTCAGGGAAGCCCACTTCGAGAGGATATACTAGGATACCCCAGATATATCATCATCATGACATCACCAGGGTATGTATGACATCATCTTTGAAAATTTGATTTAAGCACTAATGTAAGTTGATGATGTTCCCGATTTTAATATCTGAAGCAAGTAAACACCATGAGTACTAACCACTTCAAAAGTTGTAAATCGATTTTTGTAGTTGATAGGATTTAAGACAATTTGCAATTAGTTAGATTGATTTCTCTCGATTCATGACCTTCATTTTCTGTTCTGGTGATTAGAGTCAATCTAACTTTGATCCCGATACTTATCACGTTTCTGATTTCTTGTAGGATATTCTTTTATTCGTTGGAAAACATCACACTTTGAAATGAACTTGTGCTTTATAAGGTTTCTCGAAATGATTCCAATTAAAATAGTCCTATCGATCAAGTGAAATGATTAAAGACCCTAAATCAAGAATATGGAAAGGCATCATGACGAGTATGCGTATCAGTGCTCACTTGGCAAACCCAGCTTCAGTGGACACCGCTTGTTGGAAGAACCCTATTTCGTTATGATCACTTATGCTCAACTATCGGAAGTCTCTATTATAAAAGGAAGGTCGATATTGGTTCATTCATTCGAAGTCCTTCAACAATCCATTGACGAGAAATAGCATCGGTGACTCATTAATCTAGGTTAAATTTATAGCTAGTGAATTACGCTCTTGGTCGACCTTCCTACATAAGTTGCAGATGACAGTCGTGAATTCTACTTCGAGATCATCAGTAGCGATATCCCCTAACGCCACTTGCGTAGATATAACATGCTCCAGCAGTCATGTGGCACACAAGGATCATGAATCGTTAGCTTCACCAAAAGCTGTCCCGCAACTGAGCATATGTCGATCCATTGCCATCCTCGCAGTTTGCATCTCAGCTTTCATTGTCAACGTCTGTCAATTTCCTTCTTTTCATTTTGCTTGGATTACAGCATACACTGGGTGCCACCATCTTCCCGTCACATACAGTATTTCTTATCGCGTTCTTTTTCTATGGACGCTTGCCAAAACATTCCAGAACTCGTCTCAATTAGCCATCAACGTGATCTTGCCAGTCATTCAACGCGAACTCGGTAAGCTAAGGATCCCTTCATTTCTTTCTAACTTATCGTCATACCCATTTTACGCTTCAAAAACACCCTAGAATGTCAAACTTACTAGCCGTTTCATTTGTACATGATCTGTTCATGTTTCCCAAAGATATCAACTCTTGCGACCTTCAATGGCTCTCAGGTGGTTTCGCATTAGGCTACGGAAGCTTTTTACTCCTGTCAGGTCGGTTAGCTGATATTGTGAGGAAGATTCCATTGATTTTTTTTATCTTCAAATCCTAGTCATCTCACTCTTCTTGATTTTGTTAGTATGGCCACAAGCTTTTCCTTCAAATCGGTCTCTTTATCTTTGCAATATCTTCACTTGCCAGTGCACTTGCCCGTACATCAATCCAATTATCAATCTTCAGAGCCGCAATGGGCCTCGGCTCCGCCGTTAGCGCACCTGCACTTCTTGGAGTTCTAGGCAGGAGTTTTGAAGTGGGTTCGCAGATTCGCATAATCGCGTATGCTGCCTTTTCGGCTGGTGCACCGCTTGGATCAGCCATGGGGCTACTTGTCGGTGGATTTATTGTTGAGAGGACGGCGCTTCATTGGAGATCTGTTCGTTTGGGTTTTTCTGGCACCTTTCGCGCGAAAAAGTTGCTGAGATTTCACCAAAAACTAACATTTCTATGTGGCAGTTCTTCTATTTCTGTCTGGCTTTCTCAACACTTGTGATGATTTTGGTCACATTTATCATTCCAGCAGATGATGTCCAACAGAAGAGCAGCACCGTGGATTGGATTGGAGCAGGATTAATTATCCCGGGTTTAGCAATGCTCATAGTATCACTCGCAACAGCTAGTGATAGCGGTTGGGCATCAGGAGAAGTATTGGGACCATTCTTTGGCTCTTTGATTTTCTTGATTGGCTTTGTGGCTTGGGAATCATACCTGGAGCGACATGAAACTAGATGGGGAGATCCATTGATGAAACTATCAATGTTTAGACGGGAATGTTTTGGGGTTTTGCAATGTATAGCTGCATTACTTTGGTTTGGATTTGTGGATGCCAATTATTTTTTGAATATCTTGTTGAGTACCTTGTTATCTACTGAAAATTATTCTTTGACTGATCCGGCGGATTCTTCTTCTTACCGACAGTTTTGAAGAATATTTGGAATTGGACTTGACCGAGACTGTGGTCCGATTCATACCTATGTTAGACATATTTCCTCTCTGTGAGACTTACCGATTATATCAAGCTGATATGTCATTGATCGATTTGTGAATCAGGCTTGTTGTCGGAGTTTTGTTGAATGTGATTGTGGGTTTCTTGATTAAAAAATGGCCGGCTCAGATTCTTGTCATGATCGGTTGCGCGGGCACAATGGTAAGACATAGTCATATTGGCTTACATAAATCAGTAGGCTCAGATGAACTCATGAACCCCTGGTCTCTCGTTTTCAAAGATATCTTGCCTGCTTATGGCTATCGCAGACCCTGAATCGAGTTATTGGGGTTACAGCTTTCCAGCAATAGCGCTTTCCGTTGTCGGTGCAGATTTTGTGGTGAGTCAACGCGAATTTTTAGGATTGGTTGCTTGAACTTGCATGCCACAGGGATTGGTCTGATTGTTTCATTTCTTTAATACGACCAGTTTGCAGTAGGTACAATGTATGGAGCCAAAATCGCTTCGAAAGATGAACAAGGTGTAGCCGGTGGAATCTTTCAAACCTTTTCACAGATCGGAAGAGCTATTGGTTTAAGTATCTCCACTATTGTTCAAGTAGAAGTGACCAAATCTGAAGGTCGGATCTACGGTGTGGAAGTGGGATCCGAGCTTCATGATGCACCAAGGCATATTTTCTTGTACGGAATCAGGGCAGGATTATGGACTTGTTTTGCTAGTGTGGCTTTAGGTAAGCAACTCGTTTGAATTTATCTCCCCTTTCCCGAGGTTTTTAGGCTGTTCATGCGTGGTTTGATATACATGGATTAAACTTGTTTTGGATGGTTTTGCAGCTACCCTTCTAGCCGCAACCTGTTTAAATAAAATGGGATATGTCGGCAAAGAACAAGGAACGTCTACATTGAAGCCTCAACAAGAGACGTCAAGAAACAAGGAAGATGGATCAGAGCTTGCATGAAAAAAATCCTTTACAAAAGGAAACAAAAGGAAAATGAATTGTTTTCACCTCAAGCTTTTTTGATTTTTTAAAATTGAAGGCAGGTGGAATGAGTCATGTACATTAGGTCAGAGACCACTAATAGGAATACTTGATTTTTTTTGCATGGTATTGAGTTTAATTTATTTGATCAATGTTTTTGTATGTGTTTTCTTATGTTGCTTATTATAAATTATCTGGAAATCTGCTTGTAACGTTTTCAATTTGATCTTTTACGAGTTCATATCATTTCTACTTACAAATATGTGCGAAAAAATCATTGACCAAGAGGAGACCTTGCACGTGGGTATTTTTGGAAGATTTGAAGATTTAATATTTGCTTTGAGAGCTCTCTGCTTGCTGTTCTACTTGAATGTGATTTCACCTATGAGTATCAGGTGGTCAGCTTTGTAAAAGCTGCACACACTGAACAAGAAGGTTGTCAGTCCTCGAGTGTCTTGTAAGATAAAGAACACCAGAAGAACTTCACAAGATAACATAAGTATAATCACTAAACTCTCAGTCTATATTAAAATGATAAAACAATAAAAATATATATACATAATTTAAAAAGTAGATTTATCTACAACCACACCTTAGGAATCTAGTCTCAAAGATTCAACGAAAACAACTTATAGGACCTAGTTTCAAAGGTCTAGTATGAAGCAGAAGTAATATAAAACGAATAACCAGCATAATTTGAAATCACTCATCTACACCTTCACTATGCTAAGTAAGAATATTGACCCGGAAGGAGAAGAAGTATGAAGTTATGACAATAACTAAAAGCAACTTAATTGAAATACGTAGGAACCACTGGTCAACGCTAACAAAGAAAGAGTAGCCAAGAGAACCGGCCGGAAAACAAATGACAAGTTCTATAAGAAGTGATCACAACAAAGACTAGCCAAGTACGTAAATAAACTAGCAAAGAGAAAATCCGTCATTACGTATATAAAAACTTACCTAAGGAGTAGATGTTTACTGCTCAAGGAATATATCATCGATAGAAGAAGATGTCAAAGGTACGAAGTACTATAAGAAGTATTGAAGTAGTACGCATACAAATTTACATAATGAATGTAACCTGAAAGCTATAAGAAGCCCTCTTCTTAGCTGACTAGAAGAAAGGGCATCGAATTTTACACATCCAATTTCTTAAGAACGTTAGTATTCCTTTTCTCGAAGTCCAGCGTAATAAACCATTTTAAAATACCTTATTGCTTAGAAATGATATTTTAAAATCCTTTATCCGTTCCACTTCTTAAAATAACCATACTAGCTATCCTAACAAGTTGACTTCGTAAAATAAACGTATCTACCTTCAAATCTGTTTTCTCTCGAAATCGCCAGTATACTGATCCTAGATTATTCTTGAATCATTATTACCTCTGTCTTAAATACTTAGTCACAGTTTCCAGTTACCTATTCGATCACATACTTTCCAACGGTTAATCATCAGTTCTCCCAAGACTACTTATTGCTTACTAGATCTAAAGTAAGTTCCTCCTATCTGGTCAATATCCTCAGTTCTCATAACGTGAAGTTATACGAGATCCCTGTCTATTTAGTTAGCAGGCAACTCTAAGCTTATTGCTTCAGAGTAAAAACTCGGGTCTAGGATTGACCATCCTCTACTGTCTCTCTCAGTAGGCCCGTGGTTTTAGTCGTGAAGAGCTCTTATTATTTGATATCTTCAGAAGTATTAACGTACAACTTATTGTTTGTAATATATAGTTCACATTAGCAGTACCTATTCCACGTACCCAGGGGAATAGAGCCTTAGTCAGGAATTAACTACGTAAGTTCTAGACCTTACTAGTGCCCTTTAGGTAGCCACCCTGACAATTGGGGGCCTCATCGCGTGTTTAATAACCCGAGTCTAATAAAAACTATTCTTTTTTTTTTAGTTTTTTTTAGATATAATATTAAAACCCATAAATTTTTTTTATCATTTTCCTTTTTACCTTTTCTTCCGTTTAAAAAAAAAGCTTCTTTCTATTTTTTCCGAAAATCTCTTTCGAATTAATAAATCAACGTTCACTAGAACTATTTCAACAGTTACCGTATTTTGATTTCGTACACGAAAACCCTTTCAGCGACGAAATATACAACCCCTGTTTCGGAATTCATATTCTAAACCCAAGAGTCCAATTCATCTTACAAAATTTCGCGATCAACGAATTCAACAGCATTGGAGCTTCTTGATATTAGCAGAGAGCTAAGGAAGGTAATTAATCCCTTAGTCGAGATCCAAGCATCAAAGTATCATAAGACAGATATCATAGGTGATATACTTGAAGTTATCAAGAGACTTGAATCAGAAGCGGAAAAACTCCGAAAGTTAGTCGTAATTACCAAGTGCATCATTTGTGCATTAACGAGTACTAACATAAGACTACAACAGTGAACAAGAACAGCAATTCCAATCAAGACCTATCCGAACAGACTCAGGCAGCAGGGACAACCCCATCAGTCTTGTCAGTCCAGAACCACAGCAACCAGACAGCCCCAGCTCCTCATACCACGGGTACGACGACGACGAAGACTTTGTCCGCAGATCCATCTGGTAAATATTTTTTACCAAATAAGAAGTCCGGCCTATAAAGACGTGATCTGACATGCCTCCTCGTAAATCATCCAGAGTCAGCAGCCTCGAAAGGCCCAACTACTCAGACTCCATCAGAAGATCTAGCTCGATCGGGAGTAAACGAGGATGTTCCAATGCAGTCAAACCTACCACCAGAACCGTCAATCCAGGAGATCCAGGAGGCTCAGGACTTGGAACAACAAGATCATATAGTGAAGTTGCACGAGTACCACTTCACCAAGTGGAGAAATGCGCAAACGTCGAATCCCAACAACACTCGGAACATCATGATTTATCTGAAGTTGTGGAAATCGACTCACGAAACTCTGAAGATTCTGATCGGCGAGGAAGCGGTGAAGACGCTATGCCACCCTTGGGACCCCTACGAGGAAGAGAAGAACCTTCTAGCGAGGACCTTGGGAGGGTTCATCGGCAAAGAGCAGTACCTCAAACCGCAGCAAGATCAGAATCACCAACAAACCCAAGCAGGACCATCCACAGGTCCAACGAGACACCAAGCGCACAAACCGACGAACGTCCCTTACAACAGACCAGCCCAAGCAGAGGACAAAGCCCACAATATGCAACAGATGTTGTCGTTCAGCCGAGCTTATTATCGAGCTGTGAAGGGGATGAGAGGTCCCAACAAAGGGAAAGGGAAGCAGAACCACCAACAATGAGTAAAGCTTTCTATACCACCCCTAGCCCATTCTTGACATCTCATAGATTTATAAGCGATCTAGTTCCTAAGTACGATGATACCAACGTTGTAAGATCCTCTTCTGTGAATGTTAAACCTATGCCAATTGTTCATCCTCAACCTATGCCTGTCACGAAGAATGTTGTTCAAGTTCCCAGTACTACTGTAGATATCGTCACTTCAAACTCTGCTGTAATCAATGAAAACATTGTTCAAAGTGCCAAAAACTTGCCGCATCAGAGACAAATAACTCAAACACAGCATAGTGTCGAAATCGTTTCTCAACATGAGAAAAAAGACCAGATGAGTTTAAGAACTGATAACAAGTTCGACAAAGATAGATTCTTAGCTGATTTACAGAAATCGGCTAAAAACTCTAAGAGCATTGAGCAAATTCTGCGAGAAACAGAAGTAAAAACACCACCACTCTTCAACAAAGAAGTTCCTAGAGAAATCGTAGATGATAAGAGTTCTGTCTCAGTAGAAGCAGAGAAAAGTCTCAACACTAAATTTAGAGATCTAAGACTACAAACCGAAAGTTTGTCGCCCAAATCCATGAGTTCTTTGAACGATCATCGATATGACCTAGAAACAAGAATTATCCGTTGCAAAATCATATTGAGAACAAAATCGAAGAATCCATAACGGTACTGAATAAGAAATGGGACCTAGGTCTGAACATTCTGAACGACGAAATGAACATACATTTCGAAGAAATGCGACAAAGCATAAATGAGAGCGACAGGAAACGCACATTTGAAGAAACGAATAAGATTTTAAGTGACCATCTTGATAGTATGGACGATATAATGTCCAATACAATCATGGTAAATAAAGAGATAGTTGAAGCTAATAGCCGACACTTAGCAGGACTAGTCAAAATAATAGACGATAAGATGATAGAGCAAAGTTTGACCTGCTCGTTGATACATCGAAATGTGGTAAGAATATTATCATCAATAGACAAGCTAACAACGAAAATAGAAACTCAAACTGGAGAACAAAGCATCTTACAGAACATTGTTCCAGATGCAACAGTAGCAAATAGTAACAACCCGTTCGCACACGAATTCGATGTGATACCTAAAGTAACACATCCATCAGAAAGGCGATATGCAGAGCAAGAAGAGAGTATAAGACTCGAAGAAAAGACAAGCATGACTAAGACGAGCGAGAGATCACAAATGGACCTGGAAATCCTGAAGCTACTACGTAAAGAATATTCACAATCAAGGGATTGGCCGAGATTCACCGGTGAAGGGGAATATAATCACCTGGATTGGATTGATTGGATAGACGGAGTTCAGGAGGAGTTCAATATGCCGGACGCTTTAATCACATGTAAGCTGGCGGTAGTGATGACAGGTACAGCACGTGCTTGGTACCAAAGCAAGAAGAAAACCATGCTCAAAACAAGCTGGGCAGAATGGAAGAAAGCAATCATGCAAGACTTCGGAACACCTTTGTGGAAAAGGAGGATGGCATCAGCATTCGAACGTGATAAATTCAAGAACGAGTACAGATCTCGACCGAACCCTTGGCTACTATCACAACGCAAAAGATTAGAAGCAGCGTGGCCTTTTCTAACAACATCAGAACATATAGACAAAATACTAGGTCTATGTAGCGGAGAACTAGAACATGCGATCCAATCGAGAATCAAAGATCGATCGAATTTCGAAGCGTTCATGAATATCTTTGAAGAGATTGTAACTACTACCTCTATAGGAAGGATAACAGACAAAGCAAGTAACTTGAGAGTCACCTTTAGTAACAGTAGAGAAGGCGGAGGTTCTTTTCCGAGAGAAGTAAACAAAGATCTGAGAGGATCCTTTACGAAAGACTTTAGATCAAAAGATCCAGACTCGACCAAAGCTATGGAGACCGAGCAAAAGAATGCCTTCAGATCACCCTTCAGGAGTCGAGGAGATAGACAGCGGTATGGCAAAAAACCAATCAACGCAGTGAACTGCGAAGAAGATCAGCTCTCATATCACGACGAGATGTCGGAGCAAGGAGAATCCATACAAAAATCGATAAATAGTGAAACTTCGGATGACGGAGAAGATTTCTGCATTAGCAATGTCGACATGTTCCAGCGAGGGGATGGTGTATTACAAGAAAACGATACAGACACTGAAAGTGAAGAAGATGTTACACACATGACACAAGAAATATCCCTTGAAACGTTAGCAAACAACATCAGCAAAGCAGAATCGATGGCTAATTCAATTCCAATAACTCCATTTATCGCTCGAAGAAAACTCCCAACATCAGATATTGATACCTTCCTCAGGATATCTATCAGAGGATTCGAGGAAGTGATGTTGATAGACACTTCCAAGCAAATTTCGACGATTCCAAAATTCATTTTAGAACAATGCTGGCCAACGTGGGAAACAGATATGAGCACGCTTCCAGATTTACATACATCTGACGAAAAATCAGAATACGGAAAGATAGGATCAATAAATTTACCTATCAAACTAGAGCATGATACGAGACCATGTTTTATACATATGAACTTCGTTATCACAGAAGACGAGCCTTCGATATTTTTAAGACTCGGATGTCAAAGTTTGAAAGAACTCGAAATGACCATTCATATGGGAAGAGAATCATCGTGTCGAATATGGGAAACGAACGAATCATTTTCATTTAAGCTGTGGACGTTAGACAAATACAACAGCAACCGCGCACGAGAAAAATCCACTCAAGTAATAGCGACGATTACCACTGAACCAGGTGATGGGCTAGATATAGCTGAACTGCAGTCTCAAGCAGCTACCCCGCAGCAATGGGACGGAGAAATTAAGTCAAAGCAAATATCAGACGCTAGACTATTGATGAGTAAACCAGCAAGAGGAAGAGCCCATAAAATAGGCCATCACTGTATCACGACAGTGCTATTAGATAATAGAATAGAGGCCAACATATTGCTTGACAGTGGAGCAGCGTGCTCGATTGTGGGAACAAACTATCTAGATATGATATTCCCAGAGTGGAAAGAGAACATATTACCACCCAGCACGATGACATTTAGAGGATGTGATGGGAAGCTTAAGGCTCTAGGGATCATAGAGATACCGATAGTGTTTCCACATCATCTGGGATCTGTGAGGATCATGCCAGAATTCGTTGTTATGGAAAATGCGTCATCAAATTACTTTATATTAGGAGGAGAATACCTGAGATTGTATGGAATAGACATAGTGCATAGCAAAGAAAAATTCTTTACCATTGGGAATGAGAATAAAAAGAAGAAATTTCTTCTCAGCCTTCTGAAAGAGGGAAAAATATCAGCAATCCAAGAGGTAGACGAAGAATTTGAGAAAACCATAGGTGACTGCAACATATCTCCCAGACTGAAGTCATCAGAACTACATTCTTTGAAAGCAGTTATGAGGAAATATCGAAAAGCTTTCGCATACAGTAAAAACCCTATAGGTACTATAGTAGGCCATGAGCTTAAACTAAGATTGACAGTACAAAAACCTTATCCACCAATTCTTAAGAAACAGGCGTATCCAGCAAGCCCATGGAGCCGAGATGAGATTGAGAAACACTTAGACGAGTTGATCAGTTATGGTATCATTAGGAAAGTAGGAGCTGACGAAGATGTTGACATTACTACACCTGTTATTATTGCTTGGCACAACGGGAAATCCCGCATGTGTGGGGATTTTAGAGCATTGAATACGTTTACCGTACCAGACAGATATCCCATGCCGCGAATATCACATTGCCTGACGAATTTAGGAGCAGCATTGTACATCTCGACAATGGACGTGATGAAGGTTTTTCATCAGAATACTCTGGATGAAGAGACCAGGAAAATGCTACGTATTATCTCACATAAAGGAATTCACAAATACCTTTGTATGCCGTTTGGAGTTAAAGGAGCACCAGCTCACTTTCAACGGATGATGGACAACGAATTCGCTGCTGAACTGAGTGAGGGATGGCTTATCATCTATATTGACGATATTATTGTATTTTCGAAAACATGGGAAGAGCATCTGCGTAGACTGATCCAAGTGTTCGAGAAAATAATTAAAATGGGAATGACCATATCTCTACAAAAGACAAACTTTGCATTTCAAGAATTGAAAGCACTGGGACATGTGGTATCGGGACTATGGATCGCGATAGATCAGAACAAAGTAGCAGTGGTATTACAGAAGCAGATACCTCAATCAGTGAAAGAAGTACAATCTTTCTTAGGTTTCGCGAACTACTACAGGTCACACTTGGAGGGATTCGCTAGAGTAAGCGGCCCATTATATAAACTTCTCCAGAAAGGAGTATCGTTTGAAATGACACACAATAGAGTGGAGTCATGGAACACTTTAAAGAAGAGACTGACAGAAGCCCCTTTTCTGTTACACGCAGACTTTAAACTACCATTCAAATTATATGTCGATGCAAGCTTCGACGGTTTAGGTGCGACATTGCAACAGATTCAGATAATCGACGGGAAACCCTATGAAGGATTGATTGGTTGTATATCAAGGAAGCTTAAACAATCTGAGTTAAACTACGGAGCCACGCAGTTAGAAAACTTGTGCTTAGTATGGGCACTAGATAAATTCCATTATTATCTTGATGGAGCATTTTTCGAAGTCATAACAGACTGTACAGCGTTGAAAGCCCTTTTAAACATGAAAACTCCAAACCGTCACATGTTACGATGGCAGATAGCGATCCAAGAATACAGATCATGTATGACAATTACCCATAGAGAAGGAAAGAAACATGATAACGCTGACGCTCTCAGCAGAATGGCTCTAGATAATAATGAGAGCAACCCAGCCTGGGAACCAGAAGACGATATTAGAGATATACCCATTATGGGAATCAGCATATCAGACCTATCAGAAGAATTCTTTGAACAGATTAAAGAAGATTATAAGTCAGAACCAAACACAGTGAAATTGGTCGAAATACTTAGAGCAGATCACAAAGTACATGAGTTAACATCGTCTTTGGACGGAATTTGGAAGAAGTCCTTTGAAGAAGGAAGGTTTACACTATTGAGTGGGGTATTATACCACAGAGAAAAGCATTCGTGTGTCATGGTAATTACGTCAGAAACAACAATCACAGATATATTAAAAATTTGTCACGATGACGTGATGTCAGGACATCTATCTCTAGACAGAACGCTGGACAGAGTTAAGCAAACGGCTTGGTGGCCGAACTGGAGAAAGCTCACAGAAGAATATGTCATTACGTGCAATACATGTCAAAAGACAAACCAAACCACGGGTAAGAAACTAGGTCTTCTTCAACAGATAACAGAACCTAAAGTCCCATGGGAGATTATTAATATGGATTTTGTCACTGGCCTACCAGCAGCAGGACACGATAATGTGGACTGTGTTCTAGTAGTAGTCGATAGATTTTTGAAAAGATGCCGGTTCTTACCCTGCCATAAAAACGCTACAGCAATGGACATAGCCTTATTATTTTGGGAAAGGATAATTTCGGACGCAGGGCTACCGCGAGTTATAATCAGCGACAGAGATCCCAAATTCACCTCGGAATTCTGGAAAGGTCTGTACTCGCTGACAGGAACAAAATTGTCTATGTCAACAGCATACCATCCGCAAACAGATGGCCTAGCGGAAAGGATGATAAGCAGTCTCGAAGACTTGATTAGAAGGTATTGCGGCTACGGCCTTGCATTCAAAGATGGCGAAGGATACACCCACGACTGGAAGACACTGCTACCAGCATTAGAGATTGCATACAATACGTCTACACATAGTACTACCGGAAAAACACCATTCGAAATAGAGCAAGGATTTAATATAAGAACTCCTAAAGACTTCTTGAGACCAAAAGACTCCACCTTCCATCCAACAGCATCAAATTTTCATACGATGTTGACTAGAGCTAGAATGCACGCAGAGGAATGTATAAAAGATTCAACTAAATATAATAAAGAACGATGGGATAAGACCCACAAAGAACCTGATTTCAAAGTTGGAGAATTAGTCTTAATATCGACCATCAATTTCAACAACCTCCAAGGACCCAAAAAGCTGAAAGAAGCGTTCATAGGACCGTTTGTTATCAAAGAGCTTCATGGAAAAAATGCAGTAGAAGTTATACTTACAGGAAAGATTGAAAGGAAACACCCGACATTTCCAGTATCATTACTAAAGAGATACGAAAAATCAGATGAGAAGAAGTTCCCACATAGGAAAGTGTCAGATACGGCGGACATACCCATCAAAGACGAAGTCCAAGGAGAAATTCAGAAGATCATTGACGAGAAGCTTGTTTGACTGAACGGCAAAGATGTACGGTTTTACCTTGTTAGATTCAAGAACAGTACAGCAGACAGAGACCAATGGTTAGAAATGAAAGATATATCACAAGCAACGCTATTGCTGAGGAGATACAGAGTATCTAAACGACAATAATGTAAAAAATCAGAGTGGAAAACTCCACCTTGTGGTTGGGGAATGTCAGTCCTCGAGTGTCTTGTAAGATAAAGAACACCAGAAGAACTTCACAAGATAACATAAGTATAATCACTAAACTCTCAGTCTATATTAAAATGATAAAACAATAAAAATATATATACATAATTTAAAAAGTAGATTTATCTACAACCACACCTTAGGAATCTAGTCTCAAAGATTCAACGAAAACAACTTATAGGACCTAGTTTCAAAGGTCTAGTATGAAGCAGAAGTAATATAAAACAAATAACCAGCATAATTTGAAATCACTCATCTACACCTTCACTATGCTAAGTAAGAATATTGACCCGGAAGGAGAAGAAGTATGAAGTTATGACAATAACTAAAAGCAACTTAATTGAAATACGTAGGAACCACTGGTCAACGCTAACAAAGAAAGAGTAGCCAAGAGAACCGGCCGGAAAACAAATGACAAGTTCTATAAGAAGTGATCACAACAAAGACTAGCCAAGTACGTAAATAAACTAGCAAAGAGAAAATCCGTCATTACGTATATAAAAACTTACCTAAGGAGTAGATGTTTACTGCTCAAGGAATATATCATCGATAGAAGAAGATGTCAAAGGTACGAAGTACTATAAGAAGTATTGAAGTAGTACGCATACAAATTTACATAATGAATGTAACCTGAAAGCTATAAGAAGCCCTCTTCTTAGCTGACTAGAAGAAAGGGCATCGAATTTTACACATCCAATTTCTTAAGAACGTTAGTATTCCTTTTCTCGAAGTCCAGCGTAATAAACCATTTTAAAATACCTTATTGCTTAGAAATGATATTTTAAAATCCTTTATCCGTTCCACTTCTTAAAATAACCATACTAGCTATCCTAACAAGTTGACTTCGTAAAATAAACGTATCTACCTTCAAATCTGTTTTCTCTCGAAATCGCCAGTATACTGATCCTAGATTATTCTTGAATCATTATTACCTCTGTCTTAAATACTTAGTCACAGTTTCCAGTTACCTATTTGATCACATACTTTCCAACGGTTAATCATCAGTTCTCCCAAGACTACTTATTGCTTACTAGATCTAAAGTAAGTTCCTCCTATCTGGTCAATATCCTCAGTTCTCATAACGTGAAGTTATACGAGATCCCTGTCTATTTAGTTAGCAGGCAACTCTAAGCTTATTGCTTCAGAGTAAAAACTCGGGTCTAGGATTGACCATCCTCTACTGTCTCTCTCAGTAGGCCCGTGGTTTTAGTCGTGAAGAGCTCTTATTATTTGATATCTTCAGAAGTATTAACGTACAACTTATTGTTTGTAATATATAGTTCACATTAGCAGTACCTATTCCACGTACCCAGGGGAATAGAGCCTTAGTCAGGAATTAACTACGTAAGTTCTAGACCTTACTAGTGCCCTTTAGGTAGCCACCCTGACAAAGGTAAAGAGACAATCTGAAGGTAAGGAAGATTTTCGAGAAAAAAATGTTCAAGTTTAATTATTATCATCACTAACTAAACAAACAAGACTTATACCTGTGAGTATCAGGTTGTCAGCTTTGTATAATAGCTGCACACACAACTGACGTCCGAACCATAACTCGTATGGCGTCTGATTTTTGATTTTTGCCATAGGACTTGCGTCCTCTAGAAAAATGGACGTCAATACTGCCTCTCCCCAGAGAGAGTGAGGCAAGGGAGCTTGTTGTAACAGTGTTTGGGATTTCTCAGTTGTAATTCTGTTGGCACACTCAGCAACAGGATCCTGTTAAGGAGTATATGACACACTTATATAAGAGGTTGTGCCATTGTCAGAGAGTAACTTAAGAAATGCCTTAGACATATATTCTCCGCCACCCATTAACCCAACTTACAATCTTTTGATTGTGAAAAATTTCCACTCTAGCATTAAATTTTTGGAAGTATGCAAAAGTCTCATCATTTGATTTCATTATGTAAATATTTTTAGAAGTAATAATGACCTCCCCCCTCAGAAGGAACAGCTATCTTTCCACTAAGATCACTATAAACAACTTGCAAAGGATAAGTAGCTTTTGGTAATGAACTTGAATAACATAGTCAATGACCTTTAGATAAGGCACAGTCTTCACAAAACCACTCTTCTGGCACATTTACACAATACATCATGTTCAGTCAAACTGAATTGGTATGTCCGGACTGCCTATGTAGGACAGCATAGTCAGTGAGTTTTGTTGGAGATATGAGTAGGAGACGTACCAATGGTGATATTGAGTTTGATTGATCAATTTTTGATGTGACGTAAAGCCTCCACAACCATCCTTTGTCATCATAACATTCCATGTTCAAGAAACAAGTTGTATCCTTATCAAGTGAAGGAACACGATAGGCTGAAAGAGATTCATCTTGAATTTCATAATATGATCAACTGACTATCTGAGGTATTACTTGTCTGAAGAAAAATTCGTTCCTTCCAAAATTTCTAACAATACAGTTCATCAGTTGAGCAAGGGAGTTGAATATCGGTATCTTTTTATTCTTGTCGGCAATGATTGATGCAACTTTTCAAGGATCAACCCTTTGGGTTTTTGCAACTTACCTTTATCAACTTGGGTACTTCATTGTAGTCTGGGTTTATGATATGTATATCCCACCATGTAGATTGGTCGACGAGTTTATACCTGGTGATAAGGAGACTAAGGAGGTGGGTCATATACGGCTCGAATTGTAAATCCAACTCCTTTTGTTTGAGCTTTGAACCAAATCCGATAGTTTCGTATTCATTCATTAAACAAAATATCTTAAAAGTTCGTTAGAGGAAGAGGAGTAGCCAAATGAGAAAGATGATGAAAATAACACACTTGACATTCTAGCTTGATAAAAAATTGATAGATAATTGATACCCGGAAAACAAAAGCTGGGAATCTTCATGACAAGCCGATTGAGACTCTAAGAATCGTAAATGTGAAAGATATAGAAGTGAAAGTATACAAAGGAAAGCTTTTCAAACAGTGTAAGTATGAAGTCAAGAACATCATCAAGTTCACAAGATTAAAGCTATCCAAGATCTAAAAGTGAAAATTATTAAATTGATTTGACTTGAAGACCATTTGTAAATATATGAGAGTAAAGTGGAGCGATCATCGTGCCAAATGTATTATGAGCTGGTGAGATCGATTTGAGGGGAATGATAACCACTTCCTTTCTTCGAAAAGCTGAAGATCGATCGAAAGCATTCGAAATAGTCAAAGGACAAGACCATCAGTGTCTTGTACAATAGTCTGCCATCAGGTTGTCAACAAAAATAAAACATACATGATACACCTCAGACACTAACCCCCACCTCAGCTGCTACACAGAGGAGGCCTAGTGCACAAGCTCCGCCTTCGACCCCGACTTGCACCCCAGCCTCGACCCCGAGCGAAAGTCCAAGGAGGTCGGGAATTGGAGCTGCCTGAACAGCAGCCAAAGAGATGACAGTAACACACATGAAGATGATTTTATTGAGGAATTGCATGATGGGTCGTAAAATATTTTGGACGTAGATTGGATGATGAAGATAACTAAAGAAGTCGGCTGGTGAGGTTTAGTGTGACTGCGATGAGGGGAAAATGTAGAAGAGATGCAGTGGATTTTATAATCATTTGACGAGCAGTTCTGTCAGACTCTCATGCTCTCTCATGCTTACTTTCATTGTGGACATTCATGACATCACGCCTTGTCGAGAAATTGATATGTAGAGTAGGGTGTGAATCTCTCCGACTTGATAAGTACATGATGTCGTTTTCATGAATCATAAGTAACTTCTGCCTCAAAGTTAGGATCCAAAGTTATAGTTTTGCCTCTCAAACTACATAGAGAACATCGATTCCTCAACTTTTCTCACGCCTTGTCGAAGAATCGATATGTAGAGTAGGGTGTGAATTACGTTAATAATTCGATAAGGAAACACTAACTAATTCTTCTACAGATTTGAATTCGATACTGTTGTTCTCGAAAAGCTTGTCCGAGTTTTCCCGCAAAACTCGAGCAATTTGGTAATTCGATAAGGAAACACTAACTAATTCTTCTAATTTCTCTTTCTTTTTACGTAATACTTATCTTTTGACATAATTCAAATCATTACAAATATGCAGTAGTCTTGCTAAACTTATCAAAGTCCCACGCTCGCGCCTACTCGCGAAGGCGCGAGCGTGGGACTTTGATAAGTTTATAGTCTTGCCTTAAAACCCACATATTCCTTTTCTTAAGTACTTAGTATGGGAATGTGAGTAATGTTTTATCTCAATTACACCTGCATATTCCTTTTCTTGCTTCTAGTATGTGAATGTGAGTAATGTCATAGGAGATGTCTACACTGTTAATTTCTATCTACTAGTAAGTACTTATGTTACTTGCAAAAGCTGGCACTAGAGGGGAACAGTTGCGTTTGCTAAACTCAAACGCGCTGTGGGAAAAGGCGAGGGACATCCTCTTCGTTTGTCTACGGAGACGCGGGTGCGACTGGATGGCAGGAGGGAATTCGCTGTCACATGGATGCGGTGTTTTCTCTGGGCTTGCCGAGTTTCTCTCTCTCGTCAGGCCAGTCAAACATGCGATCGCTCTCCCCGTATCTCAAGGACATCGTCTATTCAAGTCTATCTTTCAAGAAGTGTCTGAAAAGTCCCATTCACCTGCGTCCGTATTCCTCCATGTGAATTTGTTACATTCCTTAGCTCACGTGCCCTACCTTCCACCAGCGGCAGCTCTTATACTATGTTATAAGACACACACGTGGCCGCTCTCACGAGCCTGACTGAGAAGGCTTTTCCATGCCACTCCCGTCCACACGCGTCCACCGCTAGTTTTCCCTACCACTACAAAAAACTTATTTTTCGCGGGGATTTTTGATTACCCATGAGCGGAAAATCAGGTGACCTCTGTACACCGTGGACACGTGGGACGAGTCAAAACAAATAAGATAACGAAGAGAAAAGAGAGACGAAAATGTGGAATAGGTGTGGCTCTGTTGGCATCGGACGGTGTGAGGGGGTTACTCGAAAAGGCTGGCCCTGGGGCCTGGATTGCAGCAAGCGGATGTACGGATCGGGAAGCACTGAGGGTGGCCACACTAGGCGCTGAGCCGCTCCACTGGAGGGCTCCCCGCTTCTGAGAGCGTAGCAGAAAAAGAGAAAATGATAGCGGCAGCCCGAAACTTAACCCTTGTCTGACAGAGGGTGGTGGGCGGGAAAACAAAAAACAAACGATAAAATATCGAACTGAAGAAAGAAATTATTTGAATTGAACTAGACAATAACGATAATTTTTTGTGAATTTGATATGAAGAAAGTAATAACGATATTTCTTAGATATGAGGAAAAAATCTTTTTGTAATTTTGTTTTTGGGACAACGGAAAGAGTTTTACAAACGACGTAGGAAAAAAAAGGAAATTTGATCTGAGCTCGTCATAGAGCTCTCGCAGCACTTGGCGCGAATCCCTCCGTTGGGGGGATGTCGTTTGCCAATTTTGTTGCACTTCTTTCGAGATGAGGCTCACGCCTTCTCCTTGCCTAGGTGTCACTCGCCTTACACCGATTCCATTATGTTAATACTCTGTACCAACTACAAGTAATGCTAGAACCAATGCGGACCCCGGTTGTGAGGTTTAATAAAAATGGGATGTTAACGATTACGGACTCCAATAGATATACATATATACAATCTTACATCTTCAGGGTGATTGTGGTGATTCTATGTGCAACTTGGTACATCAGATCAAGATCACATGAGATGTGAAAAACTTGTGCCCAACACTTTCTCAGATGAATTTGGGCATAGAATCATCAGATTTACCCTGGGGATGTACAGTCAGTGACAAAAAGTTTACGTACCTCGACTACATATGTAATAGTGCAGTGAGGTCTATGAGTGTTTTTGTCCTCGAGCATCTTCTCTATACCAACCCCAAACCTCTTAGAAAATGAAGACCTGCACCCTTTCTCCCACCCGAAAGGCTTCCATCGTTTACATGCACCAAATTGGCATTCCTGGCACTCAAATTGCTAAAAAACTAGGCCATCCCAAGTCTACTGTCTACACGGTCATCTACAATGACCGTAAAAAACGCGTATCAACGACCTCAAAAACACTCGGAAGACCGAAGAAATTCTCAGAACGTGATCAGCAAACTTTGAAGCGAATTTTAAAAAAAAACCAACACGCTTCAGCTGCCTGGATCGCTAGCAAACTACCAATTAAAGCAAGTCTTCAAACGATCCAATCAGAAATTCGAAGACTTGGGTTTAACTCTCGAGTGGCAGTAGTCAAGCCTTATCTCAAGAGCCAACACATTCTAAGGCGTCTTCAGTTTGCTAAACAGTACAAAGATTGGACTTACAATGATTGGAAGAAGGTCATATGGACCGATGAGTCGTCTTTTGAAATAGGAAAGCCTGCAAAGAAGGTTCGGGTGTGGCGTAAGCCCGGTGAAAAATACAACCAAGATTGTTTAGCACCAAGTTTCAAGAGTGGACGAACTTCGGTAATGATCTGGGGCGCATTCACAGCCGAAATTCGCTTGCCGATGACCATAATGCCCCCAGGACGTCGATCTGGACCCGATTTTGTCAATTTGATCTATCGACGCATCATTGAACCATTTATCAGCTCACCTAATTGTCCACGCAATCTTATCTTGATGGAGGATGGAGCCCCGGTACACACAAGTAAAGTGGCAAAAGAATGGAGAGATCAACATTCAATTACAAAGTTAAATTGGCCAGCAAACAGTCCAGACTTGAACCCGATTGAGAACCTCTGGAACATAATGAAAAGGAATGTTTCTGAAAAACATCAGCCTCGCACACCTCAAGAAATGCGTGAAGCCCTGTTTACCGAGTGGAAAGCAATCCCTCAGAGCAAGCTTCAAGCTTTGGTTGAATCCATGCCTGATCGGATCAAGGCTGTGATCAAGGCAAAGGGTAGACACACTCGCTGGTAAAAATTGTTGTATTCTAGAGTCTACATTACAATTACACATCCTGAAATTTGATCATAGATACTCTGACAAGTGGCCATCTAGACCGTGTGCTTTAAGGTATAGAAGTACATGAGATGTTGAGTACAATATGCTTCTTGAGAGTTGCCAAATCGGTCAGTTATAGTACAGGTACGTAAACTTTTTGTCACCGACTGTACAGTCATTCAAGATTTGCTTGGCCAAATCTCGAGGTTTTTTTTTTTTTTTTTCAATACAGACGAAATTTATAAGCATAGCCTTCAAACGGGGAAGGCTAAACAGCCTGCCGCGTCAGACTGCTTCAGTCATCCACCTGCCACCACATCCCTCTTCCACCATCTACCATTCAACTTCGACCTCATTGTTTCACTTCATTGAGTCTACCCAGCCATGGGATTTGTGGCGTACAGTCCTCAGCTGAAAGTCATTGCTATTCACAAACTCGTATCTGGACAATCACCTCAATCAATCAACGAAGAGCTCCTTACCACGATTTCGGACAAGTCCTTTGTGCAATGGAACGCCTTGTACACTCATACTCACGCGGTGATTCGCAACCCGGCTACTTATGACCGACGAGGCCGCCCAACGCTCTACTCTGACGAAGATCGAGAGTTCATGGTTGAACTCATCAATAACGATCCCTGTCTGTTCCTTGACGAGATTCAAGAAGCCATGTACGATCATACTGATCTACTGGCTTGTCGACAAACCATCGCCAACGACTTGAAAGAACGTCTCTTTCTTACCGTTCACAAGGTCGCCAAAGTGGATCCAAATCAATCTTCTGTATTACAAGCGAGATTCTCTGCGGCTATTGCTCATATCCCATCTGAGTACTTGGTATTCTTAGGTGAGTTTTTCTTCGTTTTCTCTCTTCTGGAAGATTTAAACCTGATTTGGATTTGTATTGTTTCTTCTCAACTTTGGCTCAGATGAGACTGGTTTAAAATTACCAGATGTACAACACAATCACCTTCGGTCCAAGAAAGGCAAACGACCGAAAGCGTTGAAACGGTCGAGACACGGCTCTCACTACAGCATCTTGGCTGCGATTTGCGAGATGGGCTTATTAGCGGTCAATGCCAAGCTCAATGCTTACCGTCGAAACGAATTCGAAGCATTCTTGAAACATGTTTTAGTAAGTTGTTTCATGTCTCTTTCTTCATATTCAACAACAAAGCTGACAATAGAATGGTTGTTCAAGTTACCTGTTATGCATCCATATCCAAATTGAAATTCGGTTCTGGTGATGGATAATGCGACTATCCATCACCGCGGATCAATCGAAGCCTTGTGTGAAGACGCAGGAGTCTTATTAATTTATACTTCGCCTTGCTCACCGGAATTCAATCCCATCGAGCGAGTATTCGATATCTTCAAGGCTTCGCTTCGACGTAATGGCTTGCTTGCAGTGGCTCAAGACAAGTTGAAATGTCTCAAGCAAGTTATGAGTGATGTTTGCACTAGCAATTTCATCATTAGCTTATACACGACCTGTGGTTACAGACCACGTAATCAAGAATGAAGAGGGGTATCAAAGTAGAAAACAGTTGATGTTGATAAGGGTTTAAAGTAGTCTTACAGAATATTATGATAAAAATTATTTGTTGTTGTAGATGTCTCTATGTTGTCTTTGCAAAAGTGATCAATGAAATGATTTTTGTGTAATTTCTCCTGTGCCTTTGACCCTAAACTGAAGAAGAGAAGTTTGACTCTTGTGAGTTGTGAGTAATGAGTTTCAAGACACAAATTTCAAGATGTTTCTTAAAACTCCAACTTGAGAAACCTCACTTGAATTAAAACTTGGGAAAGTCAAAATAATTCTATTTCTTGCTTCGAGTCAAATTCAAGTTCAAAGAACTCTTTGATTGATAAAAATCTCACTTGGAACTTTGTGTTTGAAGTACCAATTTGTTCACTAAAGAACATTTGCATTACAGAATAGACGTGAACCTTAAACAGATAATAATATATAGCAGTTGTAATTTTATAGTGTACTGTACTATAGCTACAACAATAGGCCCTTTAATAGGACAAGGTCAATACTTTGTTTGATGACACGAGGTAAAACTAGACTCATCCACGAGCTACGTTCTTGAGGTGTTGTCGATATAACACCGCGTTTTTGTGAAGACAAACACGTGGACCAAACTGAAAGCCAAACTGCTTCATCTCTTCGATGTTAAGCGCCGAAGATAAGAACATCTCAAAGTTCACGATGTCGTATGTCTTGAGTAGATTGCGAGTGTGATGATCTTCTGGACTGATTTTGCAATACTCAAGGTATTGTTCGAATTCTGGGAGAGGTCTTGGGGCTGGAGAATCTGATCGAGGAGCAGATTGTTGGGGAATGGGCTGGTTATTGTTGGTGTTGAATGGAAATAGGCCATTCCCAAGCGAGACCATCGGAATTTGAGATACGGCCGAGCCAGAACAAGGTGCTGATGGATTACCGGGTTTCAATTTCGATTTCGCATGATCAATTGGACCGTACTTGAACAATAGGCGACGAGGTGGGTTTAATTGGGTAGCACCATGACGCTTGTGTACCTGTCAGAGCGATCAAAAATGAGTTAATCAAGTTTTTTGAAGTGATAATGTAAAAGAAATAAAAAAACTTACTATATCACTTGCCCAAACTTCAAACATCGAATGGGTCAAGTATATCACCATGGTAGAATCATCTGGCTTGATATCACCCATGCACTCCCTGCCACCAATGTTGGTGTGGCAATAGGGGATCATGAGCTTGTTGAGCTCAGCCTGGATGGCATTGTTAACTCCAATGCTCTGTCCCAGAAGAATAAGTCAAAGAATAAGTTGCAGTCGAAAAGAAAGAGAAGTTGAGATGATACTTACCAACATCTCAACTTCATGATGTTCACCAGTATCCAACGCATCTGGACGACGGTGGGCAACAGATTGATTGAATTGCAAATCCTGTTCAGAAGGAATCAAGTCATTTGTTAATATCAAGTTGAGAATGTGAAAAAAAAGAACAAAAGCTTACTCTGGAAACAGTTCAAGCCTTTTTCTTTGGATCCTCCATGATGAGACGGAATCCAACTTCCTTTCCTTTCTTGAGGAGGATCATATTCTCCAAATCATCGAAAATCTCGTCGTTTGGGATTACTGGCAGGGTGGTCTTGCTAAATGTTTCACCGTTACAAACATATCCTTTGAAGGTAAGGTTACATTCGTCATCAGCGGTCCTGAGAATGTCACCGCAAGGTGGCTTATTGGCGTTGCACGCCTTGAAAAGAGACTCCTTCACGTCGTTGAGAGAAAACCCGTGGATTTGGATTAATCTTTCGAATGGTACCTTGGTGACATAGTCGATGTAAGTTACAGTCGCCCCGGAGCGTTTCTCAGCATCGGTAAGGTGGATGGGGCTAAAGACGTGATACCCTATGCTGGTTTGAGTGGGTACACTATCGGCAGAGGGGACTATGGGTCCAGTAGGAGTTCGAATGGGTCCAGTAGGAGTTTGAATGGGTCCAGTAGGAGTTTCGAGGTTCGGACTGGGTGATTGGGTTAGATCCACATCAACATGTGGATCTAATAGAATCATGATCAGTTTATGTTGGGTATTCAAGAGTGAGATGAAGGAAAAGTACTAACCTCCAATGACACGTTCAATTCGTTGGTCGAAAAATTGATATCCAAACATAGGATCCCTATGATTGGAATCAAAATCAAGCATGATTGCCGATCCAGAAGGTCGAACTTGAGAGGCCATCGGAGTATAAGACGGTAAACCACCGGGAAAGACCTTGATATCTGAATCTAAAGTTGATGGAAAGTCAGCTTAAAGCCTCTGATCAAGGTTTGAAAGAAAAGGAACTACTGACCTGGTTCAATCTTCTGATGATTCTTACAGCGGAACTCGCGAAAACCTGGATGCTCGTATGGATCGATATGGATGATTTCTGAGTCAAGATATTGACGTTTACCGCCGAATCTGACATCTTCCCAGTGATGTCCTGGTCTAAAAAGATAAAGGTAATCAGCTACTCTTCAATTCTTGAGTCAAGAAATGGATAGATTAGAAAACTTACGTTTCGTAGTAATAAGGTGAACCACCTCTGCCAAGCTCGGGACTGAAGCCTTCAGGTCCAGCTCGCCTGGCCTGTCTGTTCGCACTAGAAAGACAGATTGGTGAGTTGGTTATCAATTACAGAGGAAAAGAGAGGATGCTTACATTTCTAATGCTCTTCTTGCTTCCTCATGCTTACATTTCTAATGCTCTTCTTGCTTCCTCCTCTGCCAAAGCCATTTGTTGTTTTGTAGGTCGTTGTGGCATGTTGAGATCGTCGAGAAGAACAGATACGAAGCTTTTAAATACCGAGAAGGATCAAAACTTGAAAAGGAATCGAAACTCGAAAAGGAATCGAAACTCGAAAAGGAATTGAAGGATATCGAAAAGGTTGGATGGATATCAAAACTTGATGTTGAGAGAATCGAGTGGTGTCGAGGGCTTGGAGTGGTGTTGAGGTGGTGGTAAACAAGAGTCAACAAGGAGTGGTGTTGAGGTGGTGGTAAACAAGAGTCAACAAGGCTGCTGACCGGGTTCAACGGTAGAGCACCTCAATTGGCTATAGGGCTATTATGCTTATAAATTTCGTCTGTATTGAAAAAAAAAAAAAAAAAAGAGATTCGGCCAAGCGAATCTCGAATGACTGTAAGAAATATGGTGATTGGGCTCCGCTGAGATGACAAAATTTAATCTCAGACCCAGTTTTATCAGACCAATTTTTTCATATTGTTATGATTAACCAAATCACTATGCTATGACTGAGTTGTGCATATGTTGTTATGTCCTGATTTGATGCTGTGCTGTCCTGAATTTGTAAGATGCTGACCGATTGTTACGTTGTGACGTCATTGATATGTTTCCTTTTAGATTACTAGAGACTATGCGGGCGCGCCCGCAACAGTTGAATTGTGAACCAACTTAAGTCTCATAAGGCCAGCACCTGACATAGTAACCTAAGTTGAAAAAGACCAAACAACACGTAGGCAATGTTGCTTATCACCTCTACGCAATACCTCAGCGGTCAATTATGTGCATGCCTTAGGGACTTTTGACAAGATTAAAAAGTATTCCCAAAGTTTGTATTGTTATATTAACAGGCAAAGCAATCATTCTCACAGGGAGGCAAACAAGTGATGTTGATACAAAACAATAAAAATACTGCGTAATTATGGCTGTAGAACATAAATACCAACATAATGTCCAGGGATTTTTTCCTTCTGGCCAAAGAAAATTCTATAGTCAGTTGTGCTTCAAAGTCATAAACTCAAATCACACCTTACCCACAATTAAAAATGCCCAAAAATTTGATTAGTCAGGGCCATTTATGAAAAACTCTTGTTACACAAATTTGATGAAACCATTCAGAACTCCATTAAGATTGGTGGTTTTGTCATTCTAATTTTCTAGGATTTTACTAAAGTCAGAACCCCCTTTGAAGGGTTGACTGCCCCCTTTTGGCTGTGGAAGGAGTATACAATACACAAGTGTGTGAGTAAGTGTCAATTCAAAACAACACATAGGGGTGGTCTGACAATGGCATGCAAGTGAAATGGAATGTGGATAATTCTGATGACTTTGATCTCATCCAGGGCCCAATTGTTATCAATGACCATATATTTTCTTCCATTATTTCCAGTCAAATATCTTTACATGTGCCTATGTCTTCAATTTTCATAAGAAAGGAGAGGATTAAATCTTTTGTTGATGGCTATAACAGGTATAATTTGGTTGATGGGAATGTGAAAAACAATTAAATGAATTGAAATGATTGAAGAAGTGCTCAAAATAATGACAATCATTTCACTTTGTGTTCTTAATCAGTTTGGTACACATAATTCAATTAGTCAAAAGCTTTGGAATCAACCCTGACAGTTTGGCAAGTTTTTTTATGAGGAGTTGTGAAACAGCAACATTTCCCTAACTTTGGACACAAACTTCAATGGAAACCAAGGATATGGGGTTGGAGTTCCTGAGGATAGTTGAGCACTTGGAAATCAGAAGATGAACACCTTTGAGTTGGGCTCAGAGACATATGTTACAAATGACACTCGTTTTTGTGAGAGAAACTACACAGTAGATGTGACCTCGGTGTTGAGGTCACATTCAACGGGCGCTGTGAAGGGTAGGACAAATGAGGGAAAAACAGTCCACCAAGATTTGAGGCCATAGAAGTGATGGAAATGAGAGAAAAGATTGTTTGAAAGTATGAGAAATATGTAGAGTTGAGAAGTAAAGATTTTGGGGGTTGCATAGTTAATTTGATCATTCAAACGTGAATAAGTGTCTATCGATTGAAATAGATTATAATATGCAATCAAGAGGAATTTCTTTAATCTGATCGGTATCATTGGAGCTCTTGCATTCATGTTGTCAACTAATGCTTTTGAACTTAAGATCTTGGTGGTATATTTGACCACTTCGTGAATATAACTTTCAAGTTCTGGAACGTTGGTCATCTTATAAAGTTTCTATTTCAAACCAATCACAACAAAAAAATCAGTTTAAAGAGTTCAAGTCTCAAAAGCCTGGTCGTCTATCACTCAACTTTGAAACAAGTTTCAATATAGATCACTCTGATGTGATCCTCAAACGTTTGTTCAAAAGGGTGTTGACCCAAACGAAGTAAAAGATATCGTATCAATGGCGTCATCTTAGGAAGACTTTCAACATTTTGATCTATTGAAAGCTTTTTAACTTCATCCTGTTGAGATAACAAGTATTTCACTCGATTCTTTGTACCACTTTTTTGTCAAAAAGGATGAAAAGAATCAATGAATTAAAGTGAATGAAATGTTCTGATTGGAATCTTCTTTGTCAGACGTAGAGATATAAAGGCTACTCAGATCATTTAGCAAAAGAAGATTTGGTCTAAAAACAAAAAGTAAAGAAAGGCTAACGTTGCAACCCATTCAGCTTCTTTTGGGTATCCTAACCAAGCTAAACTTTCAGCTTTGATTCTCTCTAATTCTAATGGTAAGATTTCTTCAATCGAATCATTTAGATTCCAAATTGTAATTTTATTTTCTAAAATTTTAAAATAGTGATTTACTAAATCTAATCTCATTTGACTTTTACATTCATAAATTTTCTTTTCTATAAAGATCAACCAATGTAAGATTTTGGTTAAATGTTGAAAATCTACAATCAATTTTTGGTTTTGATGAATTAGATTCAAAAGGACAAAATCGTTTTGAACTCTTGACCAAAGTTGATGAGCCGAATCCAATTCAAACAGATTGATGTATGATTTAAATAATTGTATGATTTGAGTGACTATCAGTTTTTGATAACGTAAAGCAGTCTTAATTAAGATCACATTGATTGCAATAGATTTTTATAAATTGTCAATCACACCACGATGATCATTCATGATAAGTTTACATGACACATTGTTTGATAAAGCAATTGCTGCAATTTGCATTAATCTTTTGGAATGGGTTCTTTGAGTTTTGAAAATGACTCGATGAGTTTTCTATAAGATTTCATGGCTTCCTAGATGTAAAGCAAAACCCACATAAGGATGTGAGTTTGAACAGCGAGTCAGTAAAGTAAACTATCAATTCAATTGAAGATCAGAAGCTAGAGATGCTTTGTTCCAATAACAAAGGGTCAAAAGTGATAAGATCAGAAAGCAGAAGGGAACTGCAACAAAAAGCAAAAAGCTAAGTGCATAATATTAAACGGGTTTCAAAAGCAATTAGAATCGGACATCAGGAATTGAAATTGATGGACGGGTACAAAGCGGGACCAAAACTCATGCAAGTGGTCCATATATTTTTAGTATTTAGATGCGTTGGAAGTTGCCAGTTTGAGTGCAAGATATTAAGTCACGGAAGTAAGTATAACAGCAGGAGTCCAAGAGAAGAAAGTAGTGTATTATAAATTTGAAGGTTAAGAAATAGATGACTATGGGTTGAGAAAGTTTTTTTCTGACTTCTTTGGGTGAGATTGTGTCATGATTCTTAATCGTGGTAATACCGGCCTTTTATATCCTAAATCCAGACCCAAATTTTCAAAAGCATGGAATACGGACATGACACCAGGAGCAAGTAATGAAACAAAAAGTCACCATTTGCTATGATCCCACATGGTGTAGAGGGATAAAAGTCATTACAAAGAATCACAAAAAAAAGTCTATGCATCGGTACACAAAGCCATCAGCAGAACACCCGTTTTGTCCGAACGAAAAGTAATAAAAAAAGTTGAAAGGATTCCTGGGTATGCAGCCGGAACGAAAAACAATAGGACAAGATGTCGGCATCTGCTACGATACCACGTGGTGTGGAGGATGAAAGTCATCACAAAAAATCACAAAGAAGAGTACATGGATTGGTACACAAAGCCAGCAATAGAACATGTGTGTAGTCTAAACAAAAAGGAAGAAAAAAGGTGAAAGATTTCCTGGGTATGCAGCCAGAACAAAAAACAATAAGAAAAGATGCTGAAAAGCAAATGGAAAAGCAATAAAAGCAATTTAGGTAGCGTAAAAGACGGGCTCGAACTGCACAAATAATCCAAAATCCAAAATCGGAACTGATGGACGGGTAAGAAAAAGGACCGAAACTCATGTGAGTGGTCCATCTTTTTAGTATTTAGATAATACAATGTTCAACTCAAAAGTTACACAATCATATATTAGGGGGGCTCAAGTCAATTTTTTTTACCACTTTTATCGTAAAAAACTTTTCCCAATTTCATAAAATTTACGCAAATTTTATGCAATTGGGAAATGTCATACAACATCCCAAATTTTTTTAAGCAGCAAATTTGCGTAAATTTACTGCTCAGAAGGAGATCTGAAAAAAAAAATTTTGGTCCTTTTTTACAAATTGGGAGAAGTTTTTACAGCACGGTACCGTGAAAAACTTTCCCCAATTTTTTAAGAAAGGTCCCTAAATATCTTGACTTGAGCCCCCTTATTAAGGGGTGTCAAGTTTGAATTTTTACAACAAAAAAACTATGAGACGGGAAAGTTTTTATGTTTTAACGGTAGAAAAACTTTCCCGAGTGTTTATCATTGCTTGTAAACCACGATCAAGGCTTTTTTACTTTTTCGCCTCGATCTTCCACACGGTAATGAGAAAACTGCTGGTAAGAGGATGCAAGGTTATCCTTGCATCCACTATCAAGCACACCTCTTTCCAAGAGTGAAACAGTCAAATTTGAGTCTTCAAAGCGATGTTGTAAACTTATCTGTTTACGGTTATGCAAGAACGGGATAGATAAAACTTTCCCATTCTCGTAAATTTTGCATAAATTTATACTACGACGGAAAAGTTTTTTATGGTTTTTACCGTAAAAAAATTGAACTTGACACCCCCTATTATTCTTCTATCTTTTTATTCATCTTTTTCCTTCTCAAATTGTTAAAAGTTCTTTTGTGTCAACTTTTGATTAGTTCTAAAAACATTTCAATACTACACAACAACTTCCTTCAACTATAAAGCTGAATCTAAATCAAACTCAAGACTTTATCTCAAAGGAAGAAGGTATAAATCAATTTCTAACTTTGATCTTATTGTTATAAATTATTACCATTTGAGATTCTCTTATCTGATTTTGAACTCTTCATCTCAATGTAGACTTCCTAAGGTACAACTTTTCTCTTTATTTTCACTGTTATCAAGTTCTTTTGTTGTGGTTGCTTACAGTGATGATTGTATTGTTAAGAAATTCAAAATATACTTTTGTCCAAAATAAAGAGAGATCCTACCTGTTCACTATATGGTAGCGACAGACTCCTCTTGGCAAAAAATATATTTTATTTCTTTACATTTGTAGATTATAGAACTTTTTGATCAAAATGTCACAAGCAACTTTTTTGACTAAGCCGGTTCAAGTTGAAAAAACAGATGATGATAACAACTCATCTTCCGATTCTGACACTCACACTTTGACTAAAGTGAAAATCATCAAACTCACTCAAAAAAACTGGCATGAATGGCAAATTTGATTTGACAACATTCTAGTCAGCAAAGGTTACAATGATCTTCTGGATAAAAAATGGGTTGACACCAGCTCTGAGAAACCAGCATTCAAGCAAAAAAATGCTTGGGCTATCAGCAAACTATTTGAAACTGTTTTGACCAAACTTTGTGCAATTCTTCTCAAGAACAGCAAAAGTTTCTTTGACACTTACACTGCTTTAGCAAACCTTGCGGCGTGTCCTCAATCTTGATGATTGGGATGAAGGTCCAACATTGGATGTCCATTTGATACATCCCTGGAGGCTCTATCCAAGAGCATTGTGATCTTTTCTCTGGAGCATACACTTCCATCTCAGCATCACTCGCCTCTACTAAACCTTCCAATACTACTATCTCAACTGAACTGGCCGCCATTTTCTTTCTTCTAAGCTTCAACAACAATGAAGGTCTCACTCCTCTGATTCTAAACTGCTGGGACCTCAAACCGTTTGACTTCGAAACCTGTTACAACAAAATGATTATGGAACATAATCACTGTGATTCTCAAGAACAGGATGTTGTTAATTTTTTGAACGTGAAAGGCAAGAAAAGTGACAAATTCAACCCCCCCACCTATCAATCTAAACCTCCTTCTTTCAACCCCAAAAGTATTAGGGCAGTTCAAGTTTGTTTTTTAAGACAAGTTTTACGTTTTACAACATGATTGTTGTCCTTAAAAAAACCTTAATTTTAAGACCTCCGAGCCATCACTCGAGGTGGTTCGCTGACTTAAAAATTATAACTTGTCCTATAATTTTTTACAACTTCTGGCTCAAACGCAAAAAAACCGGTGAAAGCCGGTGGTAAGAGGACAGAGGTGCAAAAAAAAAACAAAATCACTGTACCTTAGGTTTCACCACCTTTCACATGCTCTGCCCTGCTGTCACCCGCTTGATCACCGGTTTGATCACCCTTTCTCACCGTTTCTCACCTGTTCAATCACCCTTTTTCCTCGATCACCCTTTCTCATCCATCTCTCATCCTCAACTTCTCTCATCCATCTCTCATCCTCAACTTCTCTCATCCGTCTCATCCATCACTCAACCAATTTCAACCAATTTCATTCAATTTCATTCAAGCTCTCAACTCAAGCTCCTATCCTCCTCCCTGATTCAAATCAAAATCAACCTTTTAACTCAAGATCTTATCTGATTTCATTTCTTTTGATTCATCATATTCAAATTCTTTTGATTCACCTCAACCTCAAGATCTTATCTGATTCCATTTCTTTTGATTCATCGTATTCAAATTCTTTTGATTCACCTCAACCTCAAGATCTTATCCGATTTCATTCATATCGATTCATCATATTCAAATCAAAATCAAGCTTTCGACCTCAAGATCTTATCCGATTTCATTCATTTCTTTTGATCATATTCAAATCAAAATCAAGCTTTCGACCTCAAGATCTTATCCGATTTCATTCATATCGATTCATCATATTCAAATCAAAATCAAGCTTTCAACCTCAAGATCTTATCCGATTTCATTCATATCGATTCATCATATTCAAATCAAAATCAAGCTTTTGACCTCAAGATCTTATCCGATCTCATTCATATTGATTCATCATATTCAAATCGAAATCAAGCTTTTGACCTCAAGATCTTATCCGATTTCATTCATTTCTTTTGATCCAAATCTAAATCAAGCCCTTATCCGATTAGCCTAATCAATCAATCAATTTTGACTTTCATCAGTTCACTCACTCATTCCGATCGGACAGCTATTTTCATTCAACTCAAAGCTATTTTTGGACGCAATGCAAGATCAAGTGAGTTTAGATTGGTCCAAGTTTATTCTCCTGTCCAACAATGATGGCTAACACCAAACAACCGTTTTAGACTACCCGCATACCTTGCAGAACTGATGCCCAGGTTGCAGAAGATCTTATTGCTAGTGGATGCACGGGCAAAGGCAAGCCTACGGCCGCAGAAGTTCGCCGATCACTTAATGCCAGCAAAGCTCGTGCTTGTGGTCAGCCGGTCCAAGCATCAGCATCTCAACCTGCTCAAAATTCCAGTGTAGCAAAGAAAGCTCGCCGTAAACTCCTATCCCAGCTGCCTCCGTCTTCAGGAGCACCTAGCTCGAAAGCCCCGCGTAAACTAGGTTACATCAACCCACATTTCGATATGGTGGACTGGGAAGAGATTGTTGATCATTTGAGTCGTCCCAACTTCCGGAACGCGATTTTCGGTGGTGGGAGTAAGACCAAAATTGTTGGACAGGGTGCAAAGGAGTTGTGCAACAACCTAGCCAGTCAAATCAACAACCACTACAATCGGCGCCATAACACTACTGCGATGCGACTCACTGGACGTGTACTCCAGCTGCGAATCATCCGATACAAAGGCAAATACATGGCGACAAAGCGTAGAGCTTGAGGGACCGGTTTTGGGGTGACTGATGAGGAATGTAAGCGTGGAATCAAACCAGAAGATAAACTTGAGATGTT